CCAGGGACGGGTCGCTTGGAAGATGACATTGTGATTAAACTACTCTCGGAAGACCCCAACAACTACAAAGATGCACCTTTAGAGGGGATCCGGCGCATTCTTTCCAAGTTTACAAGCCATGAAATTCCTCGTGGGGAACCCATCGATACTTCTTTGATCCAGAGCATTCGCATGGGCACAACTGTGGCCACAAATGCGCTGCTCGAACGGAAGGGTGAGAAGGTAGCACTGGTGGTAAGCAAGGGCTTCAAAGACTGCCTCGAGATTGGAAATCAGTCTCGTCCCAGAATATTTGACCTTGCCATCAAACGTCCCGATGTCCTTTACGAGGAGGTGATTGAGGTGGACGAGCGCGTCACTTTGGAAGACTACGCAGAAGATCCTAAACGAAACACCACTACCACTACTTTCCGGGAACAGACCCGGGCAGAAGACGATGTTGTTCGCGGCCTTTCTTCGGAAGCAGTTCGCATACTGAAGCGTCCATCTGAGGGCTTGGTGAGATCGCAGTTGAAAGAGGTATACAGCCGCGGAATCAGAAGCATAGCAGTGTGTCTTATGCATGGGTACACCTTTCCAGACCATGAGGCACTGGTGGGAAGAATCGCCAAGGATGTTGGTTTCCACCATGTGAGTTTGAGCCACCAGCTTATGCCGATGATTAAACTTGTGCCGAGGACCACCTCAGCCTGCGCCGATGCATATTTAACCCCTGGCATCAAGAAGTATATCTCTGGATTTCAAGCCGGATTTGAGGGTGGCCTTGGCAGTGAGAGTGTCAAACAGCAGGCGGGCGCCAAAGGCGCACGCTGTGAATTCATGCAATCGGACGGTGGCCTTGTGGATGTGGACCAATTTTCAGGCCTACGAGCAATTCTGTCGGGGCCTGCTGGCGGAGTAGTGGGGTATGCGTTGACTTCCTACGATCCTGTGTCGAAGACGCCTGTAATAGGGTTTGATATGGGAGGGACGAGCACAGATGTTAGCAGGTATGGATCCGGCCGGTACGAACATGTCTTTGAGACAACCACCGCTGGAGTGACAATTCAGTCTCCTCAGTTGGATATCAACACTGTTGCTGCAGGTGGCGGCTCGAGATTGTTCTACCGTAACGGTCTCTTCGTCGTTGGGCCCGAGTCAGCAGGAGCACATCCAGGGCCCGCATGCTATCGCAAGAGTGGACCACTCACAGTAACCGATGCCAATCTGTTCCTTGGGCGATTGGTCCCAGACTTCTTCCCGAAGATTTTCGGCTCAGATGAAACTCAGGGACTGGATGAACAAGCCAGTCGGGTGTTGTTTGAGGAACTAACCAAAGAAATCAACCACAAGTTGGCCAAAGGGGGCCAAAGCCGAGAAATGTCCTCTGACGAGGTTGCCTTTGGTTTTATCAAGGTAGCCAACGAGACAATGACCCGGCCCATTCGATCTCTGACAGAGGCCAAGGGACATGACACCTCAAAACACAGGTTGGCTACGTTTGGAGGAGCTGGGGGCCAGCATGCCGTTGCCATTGCCGAGAGCCTGGGGATTCGGCAGATTTTGATTCATCGGTATTCCTCGGTGCTCTCGGCATACGGAATGGCACTGGCAGACGTTGTTGATGAAAATCAAGAGCCTGAATCGAAGACCTGGGCTGATGATGCCAAGGGAGGGGTTCGGGATGCACTTGGTTTAAGAATAGAAGAATTAAAAAAACGATCCACGCAGAGGTTGCGAGAACAAGGCTTCGACAATGATTCAATCGTGTTTGAAGAATATCTCAATATGCGATATCGAGGCACAGAATCTGCCTTGATGATACTTAAACCCAGCAAAGAAGAAGCCGATCTTCACTTTGGGGGCGACGAATGGGCCTTTGGAAAGGCATTTATGAAGCAACACGATCAAGAGTTTGGTTTTACTCTCCCAGACCGGGACATCATTGTGGATGACGTACGGGTGAGAGGAATCGGGAAAGGATTCAAAATATCCGAGAAGACTGTGGACCGGCAGATCCAGGAGTCCAAGCCAAAGGATGTGACGACGGGCCAAGAATATCGTAGATCTCTCGTCTACTTCGAGGGCGGCCGACGTGAAACGCCGATCTACAAGCTCGACGACTTGAAGGTTGATGAGCGAGTGAGAGGCCCGGCGATTTTAGCCGATGACACCCAAACAATCGTGGTGACCCCAGGAGCTTCAGCGCTTTTGACAAAGACCCACGTCATCATCAATATTGGTGCATCCGATGGCAGCCAGCCAAAGATTAGCACTGACAATGTGGATCCTATCCTGCTGAGCGTCTTCTCGCACAGATTCATGGCTATTGCCGAGCAAATGGGACGTGCTTTACAGAAGACAAGTGTAAGTACCAATGTAAAGGAGCGACTTGACTACTCCTGCGCATTGTTCGACGCAGAAGGCGGGCTTGTTGCGAATGCACCACATTTGCCCGTCCATCTCGGTAGCATGTCAACCTGTGTACGGATACAGGCCCGGATATGGCACGATAAACTGAAGCCAGGCGATGTGATCGTGTCAAATCACCCGGAATTTGGGGGAACCCATCTCCCAGATATCACGGTCCTGCAGCCTGCTTTTAGCCAGGGGAAGATCATATTCTACGTCGCTTCTAGGGCGCATCATGGTAAGACCTTTCCCCGAGTGAAACAGAGGAGACGAAAAGAAAAAAAAAGGAACAAATATACTAACCTGCATGAAGCCGACATTGGAGGAATACTCCCGGGATCTATGCCACCTCATTCAAAAGAGCTTTACCAAGAAGGCGCAGCCATCAAGAGCGAAAAATTGGTATCAGAAGGCAAGTTTGACGAGGAGCGCATCACAGAATTGCTGTACAAAGAGCCGGCACAGTATCCAAACTGCAGTGGGACTCGATGTCTAGCAGATAACTTGAATGATCTCAAAGCTCAGATTGCTGCGAATAAAAAAGGGATCAACTTGATCAGCACTCTAATCGAGGAGTATGGTGAGGCTGTCGTGCAGTTCTATATGCACCAGATCCAAGACAACGCAGAGCTCAGCGTGCGCAATCTACTAAAAGATGTGAGCAAGAGATTTGCTGGTCAGGAACTGAGTGCTATTGATTACATGGATGATGGGAGCCCTATTCAATTGAAGATATTAATAGATGGGGACAAAGGAGAGGCAATCTTCGATTTTGAGGGGACGGGCCCAGAAGTATATGGTATGGTAGAGTGGCTTTCAAGAGGAAACTTGATGTTTAATGAGCTGACAATCAAAGGCAATATCAATGCACCGGAGGCTGTCACATACTCAGCGATCATTTATTGCCTGCGATGCCTTATTTCAGCAGATATCCCATTGAACCAGGGCTGTTTAAAGCCCATCGAGGTTCGAATTCCTCCTGGAAGTCTTCTGTCTCCCTCAGAATCAGCTGCCGTGGTGGGTGGCAATGTTTTGACGGTAAGACCAGACAGATACTGACGTTGATCATGGGCTCATCGTTTTTTTCCTCTTCAGAGTCAACGAGTGACCGATGTCATTTTGAGGTGCTTCCAGGCTTGTGCTGCGTCACAGGGTGATACCAACAACCTCACATTTGGGTTCGGAGGGAATATGCCTGGTGAGACGGAAACGAAAGGGTTTGGTTACTATGAAACTATCGCTGGCGGTAGCGGGGCTGGTCCGACTTGGGAAGGCACTTCAGGGGTTCATACACATATGACTAACACCCGAATCACCGATGCAGAGGTGTTTGAGCGGCGGTACCCTGTAATCCTCCGAGAATTCAGTCTTCGACCGAATTCAGGGGGTAATGGTCAGCACCGCGGCGGGGACGGCGTTGTGCGAGACATTGAATTCCGTATTCCCGTGCAAGTTTCTATCCTTTCCGAACGAAGAGTCTACCATCCATATGGATTGAAGGGAGGCGAGGACGCCCAGTGTGGTCAGAATATCTGGGTGCGCCGCGTGAAAAAACAAGACGGAAGCTGGGAGAACAGATATATCAACCTCGGCGCGAAGAATTCCGCTCAGATGCAAGCAGGGGAGCGGATCATTATCCGCACACCCGGAGGAGGAGGATGGGGTCAAATCGGAGGCCAGAGACAGCTTCTCCAAGAGGAAGATCACCGTCGTGCTTGGCGGGGAGGTTCTATTGCTAACAACATGGCGACGCAAGAGGCGAGTATGTGATCGATAGGGAAATTTGGGAGTAAGTCCAGACCACCATGTTTTGATTCAAACGGTCAAGATCAATTTGATTATGATGAAAATTGTAAGGGCCAGTTATGGGCAACGTAAACCAACTCTCAATGGCGATTTACGCTTCACTCTCCTCATCACTTGTCGCCTCGATATTCTGCTTTGATGGACTTTGGTTGTCCGAATGGGCCTGTCTTTGCTCTCCTTGATCAAACTGGCCTCTCTCTGCCGAGTAGACCGGCCGAGGCAGAGTTTCCCCATTTTCCTTCAATGCCTGCTCAATCTCAGGTAGAATGGAGACGATAGCAGCGAATTGATCCACGGGCATTGAGATACCCTGAATTGGGAATGAATATCAGCACGGTTTATGCAAACTGACTGAACAACCGACCTTTTTTCCTGGCAACTCCTGCCCGTCCTTTTCGTAGTATTCTCTGACATTCACCTGGGTTTTTCCACGGAAAGAAGATATCGTAACGCGGCGCATCTTCGATATTTCCCAATACCGATCTCCATTAGAGTCGGTTTTGGTTTCCGCAGTAGTGTTGACCTTGGCCTTTTTTGGGCGCACGCTATTGTCAAGGCCAGCGCCTGTCTCGGACGAACGTTTCCTGGATGACATGACTGAGGGATGATCTCAGAAACCTGGTTGTGAGAAGGTATAGAAGAGTAAGAAAGCGGGAAGTTGTGTACACGAACGCGAAACGCAAACACGTCATCACGTGAATGCCAATATAGTCTAGATACATACCTATATGTCTCCATCATTGATAATTCCTACTTGTGGTCTCTCATTTATGTATATCCAAATCAATATGATCCATTGAACACTAGAGAGTCAATACCCTAAGGCCCTGTAGTAGAATTGAGAAGACAAATCCTCGAGCGACACTCTCAACTTGAAGACTATCAAAGATTTTCTCTAGCGCTTCTCGACTAGCAGCCGCCCCCATAACACTTGTTAAGGCCTGTGGGATTCCTCGTTGCACAAATAGTTTACGTGCAGTATCCCGTAACCGGATCTTCTCCTCCTCACTGGGTGGAGGGGGCCAGGCTTTCAGTTCCTCCTCTGTCGGAAGCGCATTCTCACGAAGCTTGAGAAGGTAATCCCCCAGGGCGTCATCCGAAGTGTGGCCTTCTATCATGGAATCTTGTAACAGAGTGCGAATAGTTTCCAGTGTCGGGCTCCCGGGACGTAGGATATACGATTTGGCAGCATTCAAAAGGGTTCGGCGTATGTTCCATGCAGACGACAAAGTGTACAACTCATTGATGACCGCAAAGATCAGCTCTACTGCTATTTGCGTCTCATCGGCTGTGATGGGATTCCCTTGTTTGTGGGGTTGATCAATACTCTGCCCAGTCTCTGATCGGCGATGTGATGGGGTTTGTTCAATAGTTTCCGTTGCCTGGATGTCAAGTTCTGCAGTATGATCGCCGATATCAATCGAGGTCTTAGAGGGTGGGATCTCTGCGGTCCATGCACCTTGCTCATTCCCAAGCGACTCTCTGGTACCGTCGATCGAAGCCGGCTTGGAGACTTCGCCTCTTTGGATTTCCAAGGAGTCGCTATGGTACACCACAGGTGAATCAACATTTTCGTTGCTTGCGCCGGTACGATCACCAAAGCCGGACCGTGTCTGCGACAAACTGCTGCGACTAGAGTTATCAACTTTGGATTGAATCTGATCAGCAGCGACGACCGGTTTCTTGCCATTGGCGGTGCCTCCGAACACCCCCGTCATTCCTTCAAAGACGGCTTTACTGCCCCCTGCCACTCCCTTGGGCGCATTGGTCAGTGCACCAAGCATACCCTTGCCCATGTTTTCAAACGCAGTTTGGCTAGGGAAGGAGAATACCGGTTTGTTAGGACCGGTGGGTTCAGTGGAGGAACCAGCGTCTTTTTCCAAGAATCGGCGCATTCGATCAGTGTCGGCAAGTGACTCGTGCTTCATGGCATCTTGTAAATACCACTCAAGGTCCCGAGCGAGAGCTTGTCGTGTTTTGCCCTTCCATGTAGGCAGTATGGGGTGACGCTCCGAGAAACTTGAAATCTGATTCAATCGTGAAACGGTTCCCAGCATCTCGTGAAGGGACTGGAAGTCCGAATATTTGCGAAACACCATCCACCCAGTCGAGCGTGTTGACGCTGGTTCGACCTGTAGTAGATAATCCCACATGGGTCGCGACTTAATCTGGCCTTTTTCATCCCTCGCTCCGTCATCGTCTACCAACACTTGTGCCCCATGAAGAATCAAAGGTGGCACAGAAGAGTCTTCGGATACTTTCGGGCTTGCAATTAATTGCGTATTGGGCGCTGGCCCCTGGTCTTCGTTGTATTCGTTTTCATGAGTCGTGTCTGAAGCCAAATCAGCCTTCAAAGGGTTTTCGTCAATTTGTTCGTTTTGGCGTGGCCATTCTGACTCTGAGCTCTGCGTATCATGGGTTGCAATCATAGCGCTCAGACGTTTCACCTCTAGAACTGCTTCTTCCTCTGTAGCCCTCGCCACATGGATGGACTCTCTCTGTGTGGCTTTGACGGAGTCTGCCTTGGGGTCTTCTGAAGACCCGGGGGCATTGACGCCCTGGTTCCGCGCGCCTTCAACGCCTGCGTCGATAGCGTGCATGATTTCGGATTCACCGCCCTGCAGGAGATAGATAATCCATTCATTGATAAATTCAGGACGGGCAAGACTGGTAACAGTGGACCCCAGTATCACACCCGCAAAAACTTCACGGAGGAAATCTCGTACAGCCGGACAATTGTAGGCCTTGGCATCCAAGAAATTCGACAGTATGTCATCCGCAATCATGCTGAGTTTCTTCTTTTGTTGTTTCTCAGACAAGACATTCGCTAGGCTGCTATCTGGAAATTGTTCAAGGTACTGATCCACAGTTTTCTGGGCTTCCGCCGGGGAGGAGCCCACAGCGGTGAATGCTGCTGCAAGTTCATTCAAGAATACAATGACGATAGACGAGGAGTTGGTGAGGAACTGCAAGAATGTGTCCTCTGTTCGTTTCCGCGAGAGGTGCGAAGAGACTGATGTAATGAAATGCGTCAAAATTCTCCGACAGGAGCCTGGGAAACTTGATTCGGACGGTAAAAGCGGCTCATACCAGTATCTTTATTTGGGGTAAGCTATTTGTTACACAGTGGGAGAAGGGGGCATATATGAAGGATACTTACTTGACATAGTCTTTAATGACTGCATCAGTGAGCGTTCTCAAGGCGACAGCAGTGGCCGGTTGGAAGGTGGCATATTCCAAGTCTGCTGAGGACATATCTTCAAGCGTACTTGTAGAACCATCGTCTCCCCCCTGGATGTCTGAAGCACCAGCCCGCTTCGGCCAGTCCAAAAGCCTGTTAGAGACTTCCAGGGCAAGTTCTCTACGCCTGTTGGGCTTTTGCGCGTGCGACGCTTCGTCTGCGTGTTCGTTATCCCATCCCTCCCAGGACGCGTGCAGGACAACCCCCACAACCACTCCAATCAGAAGCAGACCGATTCTCCCCAGGATAATGTAGGTCACGAGTGCAAGAAGCGCAAAGACTCCAAGGAGGGTCTCATTGGTAGAGGTTGAGAGAAAATCGAGGGCAGCATTGATAAGTTCCTTTGAAATCGCTGTATTCGAGATGGGGTCTTGCGTCCGGGGAGTATTGTGGTCTTTGGATGGGGATGCTGAAATGACTTGGGAGTCTGCATCATCACTGAGGCGACTCATTGTGCTGAGATATGCCGGATTTGGAGGGTGGCCAAAGTAATTGTAGTCAACCCTCCATGTCCAAAATCAAATGTGACCTTGTAGATCTGTGTAGACAATTTGATGTGGAACAATAAGGGCAACAAGAAGATAAGGGGATATATCGTACGGAGTACATAGGAACCTTGGGAAATGCTTGGCGTACACGGTTGGCCAGTGCGTACCTCGTTCTCGTACTTGGTACAAGAATAGAAACATTTGAACTTCATGAATGTATGTTGAACGGGAGTGTTAAAATCATAGCTAAATATGTTTATACTATAAATATTGTATGTATCCAATCATGATTTCCTTACAAGCATGAGCTATATAGCAAGGAATCTAAAGCTAACAGAAAGGAGTTGATCTCCGCTATCCGAGTGAATCTGAGCATTCAAAGAGCATGCGCTTCATGCCAGATGTAAAGAGATTGCGGTTGGGAGAAAGAAAAGGGAAGTGCTCTACAGGGGGTAACAATGGCCCCAAACTCATCGTGTCAGGACATACTTGGTATGTGGCCTCAGGGCTACCTTCACCAGTCCTCTTGCGGTGTTCATCTGTTCATCGTGAGGCCCGTTGCTCATTTCCGTGAAATCCAAGGCATAAATTTCAACCTCATTAAGAAGAAATTCATAGATGGACTCTGAGAAAGAGTGCTAAGAGCTTTTCAACCTCCTAAGATTGGATGGTCATGATGAGAAATGGACATAGACATAGTAAGAAAGAAGGGAAAGAAAGAAAAACGAAAGATTTTGTAGGGAATCCATATTACCTAATGCTTAGCCGACAAACTGTCAGCGCTAGTCCCACTTGGGCTACATAGGTACCCGTGGACCCGACTTACTAAGTATGTACTTACTAAGAACTCCGTACTCTCGACCTCAGGTCGCCCAGCCCTTCAGACCTCCAGGGCTGGAGGCCCTAGCTCGTACTCAAAAGACTCTTCAGATAGTGTAATGTATTGTAATTGTTTCATCTATGTTTTTGTTTCTGTTTATGCCTTTGTCTTCTAGAAAGCATCTGGGAAAGCATAAAGTGATTGACATCCTCATCTCCCCAATACGTGAGATGACTGGCGATGCTGGCTATTAATGAAATATCGAAGGCTCCCCTATATTCCAGTTAATAAGGTTCAACAATGCAGGGCAAGTGGTCATACTCTTGGATGCTGTAGTCCACACGACCATTTGCATTCAAGGCACGCACTTTAGCGTCCTCGAATTTCAGCCTCCGGTCCTGGTTAGTGTCGGTATCGGAATCTGGACTCTCGCCATGATGGGCACTCCTGCTTTTTTGGAAACCATCGTAAAGGGTTTCCAGATCGGATTCAATCAATGTCTGATAGTGGTCATCGGATCCATCGGACCCATGCTGAGCTGAGCCTGACTGTGACCGTCTATGGGTTGATTCGTCACCTGGTTTACCAGAAGTGCGAGCAGCCGGGAAGGCGTCATCGCCGTTTAGACCCAAACTGCGATTCAACAAACTGCTTGCGACACCCGTGGTGAAATTTGTCCACAAGGATCCCACACTTTGGCCCATGCGGCTACCGAGAATGGATAGACTCTGGCCAGAGGTCGTCCAGAGGCTTTTCTTCACCGACGGTAGAGGCTGAGGCTTCAGTTTTGCCATCGCTGGAGATATCAGAGGCTCGACCCGGTAGCTCACCGGGTCAGAAGGATGGAAGATATTGTAGAGATCTCGACACTTTGGTGTTGAGATGATACCGGGATTGTCGCTGAGCGCAAGTCCAGGACCATGCGAGTCCAAGTCAATCTCAACATCCAGAGGACTTTTGCGATTTCGGGGATCCAAGGCAGAGTATCCTCCAATCGTCTTACCCTTGAGCATTTGAAAGAGTGCAATGGGGGATCCCAGACAAAAGAACTCTTCGCAGTCAAAATCAAACGCACTTGAACCCTTGGGGGTGGAGCCATCGCTCTCTTGGGCCATTCCCTTGGAGGCACCATTCTGCCCGGTATTGGTTCCCGGCTGGCGACACAAGATGTCAAATAGAATCGCGCTACCAAGTGAATGGCCGCAGAGACTGACTGATCCCTTGAAAGAAGGATTTTGCTTCCGGTACAGTCGGACGATTCGATTGCATTCTTGGATGACAATATTGGAGATGTGTTCACAATACCCGCTTTGGTACAGAAGTACATCCATAGCCAAATCTGAAATGAGGTTTCGAACAGCAGGTACACTTTCCAGTGTTATATCGGACAGGCTGGGGTAAGCATCATCCTCGAGAGCGTCTGCATCAGTGAGATCCAGTTCTTTTCTGTTCTGTCGAACTCCTCGGTAAGGAAAGTCTAGAAGATGGCGCCAGCACCTGCTGGAATTAGCAAAAAGAAATGTCGAGCAAAGGAGTCACTCTCACACTGGCAGCACCTGCACACGGCAGTTGATCTTACCGGAAGAACCGCCGTCTGGGAACGCTGAGTTCAACGCTTGAAGGTCAGGCGAACCTTTGTAGACAGTTTTCAGCGTCTTGCGAAGCACATTTACATCATGTATGAAATTGATGCTTTCCAGTCGTAAACCGAGTCGCTGGCCAATTCCATGGGTGACAAGAACTAGATGATCAACCTCGCGCTCTCTGTCCGCACCGTCCACGTCCCTCGACTCTTCCATCTCCTGTTCCTCCTGCCTACGAGCCTGTTCTTCGAGGTCAGCTGGATTTTGTGGCTCGCCTGCAAGGGAGGACATTTGGTGTTCTAATGTTGATTTCGGTCTACTTTCGTAGTTCTCGAATCCATCAGCGGAGGTTGACTTGAGGGTATCCGTGGCTTTTTCTGTCTTTTCCTTCAAGACCTCATTCAAACCTCTGGCAGGCGTTGACTCGCTCAGTGGTTTTTGTTTGGGACCCTTTGCTTCTGGCGTCTCTTTTGGCTTCCTGGGCTCAAAACCGCGAACCAACTTCGTTCCCGGAACGCCTCCTAGCTTTTGATACACCGAAGTACTGAAGCGTGACATGAAATCATCGTTCATCAGCCAGGCCGTCGTGGAATCTTGATAACCGACTATCCTATTCATGTAAGCGCCAAAGAGACGATACTGCTGAGGCTCCATTGCAGGACCAGGACTGTTGAAATCGTTCCCTGTGCCGCGGGGAGGAGAGTTCGGGTTGGCTGATTGAGGGGGTTTGGGATCTGGCTCATAGGTGTTGGTTGGCACGGTTTTGGTCTGACCAGATCTATCTTCTTCGTTTGTTTGCGAATTCTGCTCTGTTGGCTGGGACCTCCATGGACACAGTTTGATATAGCCTTCTTCAAGCTGGGTGGCAAGATTTTCTTCGCATGGTTTTAGGCTAGATCCATCCTGAATGAACCACGTTCCACGACGGACTTCATATACAGGGCCAATCCAGTAGGTAGGACTCAACTCACGCTGTTCCACATCGACATTGAAAAGAAAATCCTCATTCACGGGAACTTTGGTCAATACAGGTTCGCTGTCGTTTGACTGGTTTTGTTGGCGGGCATCTTCAATGTCTGAGAGTTTCTGAAACGTCGTTTCGATGGACTGGGAGTCTTTCCCTGGAAAAGGAATGAATTTCTTCGGCGATGGCAAGGGCTTTTGGTCTGCCTTTTTCTGTCCTATAATGGATGGTTTCCGCTTGGGCGAGTCCACTGCGTAGAACCACCTGACTTTCAATGGAGGGCAGTCGGGAGGATAGCGTCGCATGCTTAATCGATGCATGTGGGTCACCGTGTGGTCCTCCCCTTGCGATCGCTGCAGTACATCTTGTTTTTGGTGATCACCAGGCTGCGGTGTTGGGGTTGCACTTCTTGGTGTACTCCATGGAGTAAGTGTCCCGAGGAACGACTTCTGCTCTGCACCCGCCATGGGGAGGAGTGCCCGTCGGAAGGCAGCGAAACGAACCAACGTGAGCAGCTGGATTGAGGAACGGTGGAAGTGTTGATGGTACGAGAGATGAAGGTAAAGAGAAAGCGAAACAAGAAATAGAGACGTGTCCAAAAGGCGTCAAAAAGGCCGATAGAATGTTGAAGATGCAATGAACGTTTCCAATGTTTTGGAGATCGGAAATGATGTAATCCTGATTTTTTTAGGTGCATATATGCAATTACGTTTACAACGTTATATACCCGGTAATATACCCGGTATGCATATCAACACATGTCTGTTCTTTATATAGGCTCTGTAATTATATATTTCTATATAAAGTCCCAATGCCAATATCTTTCATTGCGTATACCCCATAGAGTTAGGGGTTAAACCGTGGACTAGTAGAGTTCCAAGCTTGCCAAATTCCCGAGGTCAGTGTCTATGGCTTACCTCAGTCAATTTGTGGAGCCCTGGAGACCTCTGGAAGGGATTTAGAACGAAGGACAACGGAAACTCGGGATAAAGTACATATGTATCAGTTTGGAAAGAGAAGAATAAGCTAGGCAGATGAGATACTTCAAGTCGAACATCTTATAAAAAAATAAATTACATACCACTTTGTAAATATGTCGACGTCATTCGAAGAACTTCCCGAATACGATAATACTAGAACACGGCGTTACTGACATGATACTTACGCCCCCATACAAAAATACCCCTAGCGTGATGTACTCTGTATCGTTAACCCAAGTACTTTCATTACGGTGTGGCTCCCCCTCCCCCCACCCCTCGGTTCGTGTATACCTGGCTGCCTTTCGCCCTGCACTGCCCACCTCTTAGCACGGATCGGATTTCTTCTGATCATTTACTTTCTTTCTTTACCTCTTGACAATTGACCTGTTCAGGGTGTAAACACTACTTTCTCTTTTCGTCGAAACCCGGCCTTTCCCTGGGTGATCACCCCCCACCTATTTTGCCCCCAGGGTTGTGATTCTGACAAGATGAACGCCCTCAAGCTTCAGAAGTACATTTCCTCGCCATTCAATGCAAGCATATGCTGACCATTGTGATTACTATAGGCGTTTTCCGCAGCTTGATCAAGGCGAAATCTTTTCACTCCAGGATGCATTCAACAGATTGGACGTCGAAGACCGTGGCTACCTTGATGAATCTACGGTGATCAAAGCTGCTCAACAATCGGAACGCCAGCCGTATGATGTGGTGCGTGCAGCTTTGAAGGATGTGGAACTCGATAGCTCTCGGCGCGTGGAACTCGAAGATTATGTTGATGTAATACAATTTCCCCGCTTCCCTTTCTCATCCCGCTGATATTAACGTCATGGCAGCTCGTTTCGAAGCTTCGGACAGCACCCACTGAAAGTGCCCGCGCAGCAACTACCCCTGCGGCCGTGATTCAAGGGGCCGGCGCTGGCACTGGAGCATCTCGACATGTCTCTAAAGGCAGTGTGGGTGGAAGAATCCATGTCCAGGGATCGTCTTCCAATGTCACGCATACGATCAACGAAGACGAACGAACCGAGTTCACGCGTCACATCAATGCCGTCCTGGCGGGCGATGCGGACGTCGGCAACCTCCTACCTTTCCCCACCGATACATTTGAGATGTTTGATAAGTGCAAGGATGGCTTGGTCCTGGCAAAGTTGATCAACGACAGCGTACCAGACACCATTGATGAGCGTGTTCTGAACAAGGTCGGGAAGAAGATCAAGCAGCTGAATGCTTTCCACATGACTGAGAACAATAACATTGTTATCAACTCTGCCAAGGGTATCGGATGCTCAGTTGTTAACATCGGAAGCGGGGATATCATTGAAGTGCGCGAGCATCTCATCCTAGGTCTCATCTGGCAAATCATCCGCCGTGGTCTTCTTGGAAAGATTGATATCAAACTCCACCCGGAGCTTTATAGGCTTTTGGATGAGGATGAAACTCTGGAGCAGTTCTTGCGCTTGCCTCCAGAGCAGATTCTCCTTCGTTGGTTCAACTATCATCTTAAGAATGCCAAGTGGGACAGACGGTATGTCCAGCCCGAGGTAAAAAACAACTAAAGACATATGGCTAACCGATGTAGCGTCACGAACTTCTCTACCGATGTCAAGGATGGCGAGAACTACACCGTTCTCCTTAACCAATTGGCACCCGATGTTTGCTCGCGTGCCCCTCTTCAAACTCGAGACTTGCTTGAGCGGGCTGAGCAGGTCCTCCAAAACGCCGATTCGCTTGATTGCCGCAAGTTCCTGACCCCAACCTCATTGGTTGCCGGAAACCCCAAGCTGAACCTTGCCTTTGTCGCCAATCTGTTCAACACCCACCCAGGGCTGGACCCCATCACCGAGGAGGAGAAGCTCGAAGTTGAAGACTTCGATGCTGAGGGCGAGCGAGAGGCCAGAGTCTTCACTCTGTGGTTGAATTCCTTGGATGTGCAGCCGGCAGTCAACTCGCTCTTCGATGACCTACGCGATGGCTATGTTTTGTTGCAGGCATACGACAAGGTCATTCCTGGAAGCGTGAACTGGAGACATGTCAACAAGCCACCAGCGTCTGGTGGTGAATTGATGCGGTTCAAGGCCGTGGAAAATACCAATTATTCGATCGAGCTTGGGAAACATAATGGTTTCTCTCTTGTCGGCGTTCAGGGCGCTGATATCACTGATGGCCAACGAACCCTCACTCTCGGATTGGTGTGGCAGCTGATGCGCCGTGATATCACCAACACACTCTCCGCGCTGGCCCAACGGCTGGGCAAACGCGAAATTACTGATACTGAGATGATCCGCTGGGCCAATGACATGTCTAGCAGTGGCGGCAAGTCTTCCACGATACGCAGCTTCAAAGACAAGTCCATTGGATCTGGAATCTTCCTCCTTGATGTGCTCAACGGCATGAAGAGCAGCTATGTCGATTACGATTTGGTCACGCCCGGTCGGACCGACGAAGAGGCATATGCAAACGCTAAGCTTTCTATCAGTATTGCCAGAAAGATGGGTGCTACCATCTGGTTGGTCCCGGAGGACATCTGTCAAGTTCGGTCTCGTTTGGTCACTACATTTATTGGTAAGTTCATAATTTCGTCGGTATGGCAGAAATTTCAGTTTCTAACAGATGATAGGTTCCCTTATGGCTACCCACGAGAAGATGTAAGGAATACAACAGTTCACTTTGGCCAATTGTTATGGTATTGCATACCTTTTTTGTCTCCATCAATACATGTAAATCTGCCGCTTCTCAAGGCGAACCTAACCAAGTGTGGATTTCAATCAAAGTTTCATTGTTACCATGCTAGATATTTGCCTCTCCGATTGATTAAAGGTACTGATCAAACCATGCGACTGCCTGCAAAAAGGCAGACTCTTTGGCAAAGCGGATTGTCGGCTTGGTGATATCTGCGCGGACAGCAAACCCATGCTCAACACCACTGAACAAGTTGATCTGGTACGGCTGGCCAGTTTTGGCCAGGATATCCTCGGATTCATGGCGCTTTGAGGCCGGGAAGATTGAGTCGGTTTCTATCAATATTTAGTCAAGACGCTGTAGTCAGATCATATCATAACTTACCAGCCGCAGCAATGGACAGCGGGCCTTGGATTGCTTGTAATTCCTCTGCGTCGACGAAACCGGGGTGTGCCACATAGGCAACATCGCAGAGACCTGGCTGGAGCAGTCGGACGGCGTATTTTGCCTGTATTTGTCAACGTGGGCAGCAGCAAGACATACGGGACATGATCATACCCCGAAACAATATCCGATAGCACCGACTCGCTCGCAGCCCATGTTGGACTTCATTTCCTTTAGTATCGCATGGATCACGGGTTCTACACGCTCTGGCAGATGGCCCGGGGGGCCTTTTAGCCAGGTCATCAGGTCGAAGCTCGCAGGGCGGTTGTTTAACGGCACCGGATCACCGTGGAATATGTCTGGCATGACGACCAGGTAACCATTTGCCGCTAGCTGGTCTGCAATAAGTTGTGCATTAATGAAACGGTGGCCAATTACATCTGTGAGCAGCAGGATGGCAGGCTTGGTAGAACGCTCGGGGCGTGATATGTAGACCTCGACTACAACCGTCAGCGAAACTGTTGTCTACCTCCAGAGAATCGGATGTATGGACCATCGCCAATTTGTTGGAGTTGACCCTTGGCTTCGCCTTCATGTTTAACGCCAATGGCGCAGCAGGCAGCGGGTGGATTTGATGCCATTTAGATACAATCGAAATAGTAAAGCAATAAAGGGAGTGTTTGTAAGAAAGATATCGGAAAGAAGAAGACCTCGGGAGTATAGAGAGAAATATATATAAGGTGGGGGTTATACGGTATAAGGGTCCGTGCCCATCCATACCGGCAGAGTAAATACGCGGTCAGTCTTTACATGTATGTCTCTAGAGTGTATAACAATAAATAATGTATCAAATCAACACATAGGCGCAATGTAGCTCCATAGCCACGTGGATGTGTTGTTTAGGTGTTCATCATCGTCATGGAAAGTGGCCCGTGTCCAAGTCATTGCGAGCCGTGGCATATCAAGCAAATGTACTATTGAAGCAGTGACTATGCATCCATGGATATCTACACAGCTACCGTATCGAATCGAATCAAATGATCAAGTACAAGCTGCATAACAGACTTGGCCCTGTAAAGATGCCCAGCCAAAAGACGACATTGCCCAACAAACGGCGACCTCGCATCAGGCGAGTCCGGCTTAGCGCAACAAGCGGTAGTTGAGACATCTGAAGGATCAGTAGGTAACCTCGAAGCCGCCGGAAGATGCACAGCATGAGCAGCTCATGTACACAGGCAGATAAGAGAAAAGTGATGAGACTGGCAGATACCCGCGACAAACGGTATTCGCTGATGGAGCCATGGTATACATGTCGAAACAAGAAGTTATGGACAGGACGGTTCCAATCCCGTGCAAACTGATCCCATGAGACCGAGTTCCACCAATCGGAATAGAACCCTCGATCTGCAAACATGGTGATCTCGGCGACAGCATTGAGCTAGATGAACTTAGCAATAAATCAAAGTAGCAGACAGGCGGACAGACTTACAACACATTCCCAGATCACGTAGAATGCCAGTAGATATTCCATCATGAACGGAAAAAGTAAGTCACCGAGAACCCAGGGAAATTCCCGAAGTCTCTGCTGCAAGGTCATCCCCTCCTCTTTCATACGCACCGTGTCCATTACCACCGGGTATATCCACGATTGAGAGACTGCGATCATAACCACAATGATGCCGAATGTGGCGAGTGTTTTCTCTGCGACATAGAGCCAGTCAATTTTCTTGGTCCGCGGGTATTCAAGCTCATAAACCAATGTGGGCAATGTCATGAAGTCGCAGATATTTCCTATTGTTAAATTTCGTGGATAGTGATTGTTGGTCAGTGAACACCGGCCCTTTAGCCCCTCAGATAAGACCTTGATCTCCTGCTCGAGCAGTTCTCTGAGAGATTTCACCTGACTCGGTTCAAGTGGCACGCCGGTCTCGATCGTTCCAATGAGAGATAAAAGCTGGTCGGTTTCATGGGATCGAGAATAGTTTTGGAGGTCAGAAGAGCGCCGATTAACGTCCTTTTTCTTGAGGTCTGTGATCTCAGCATTGACTTGCGTATCAATTGCAGAAGAGGACCCCATTTTGGCAGAAGTAGCATGTCCTCTTTCTTTGGCTTTGGTTTGGCCAAGACTTGCTTTGAGCATATTTCGCTTGCGATACATTTCCGATACTGCCATCATTAGCTCCTGCTCATGACGGAACATAAATTGACATACAGTAGCCATTGTAAGCTGCATAGCTGTGTTGCTTCATCAGCATAGCCAAGCAGTGCAATACGATAAAGACCGTGTGTGTCCACGGCCAATCGCGATGGTATGTCCACCATATAACGACTCCAAGATATGTAGTTTGCCAAATCTACATAGGTCAGCAATGTAACAGGGTTGGGGGCAAATCTTTTGAGACTGACATTCTGAATGAGCCAGCCGAGACCGTTCCAGCGAATGTATCCCTTGAGTACCACTCGTTGTAATATCAGACAAAACCCCGTAGACCAACAAAGGAGCAAGTCAGTCAGCCCGAGGACCATGACATCCTTATCCATCATGAGACGGATAATCTCATTATTACCCCATATACTGCCATGGGTTCTCCAATTGTTGGCAGCAAGCCTGAACAACATCAGGGTCACCCCCATCCAGAAGAGAACAAAAAAGCCATGGAACTGGGGGGCAGTAGTCTCCAAATTTTGAAAGGTACTCAGCTGTCGGGTGAATTTCAGATCCTGGAACCTGAATTTTCGTTTCTCACCCGACTGATGTGAGAGACTGTGGTTGAGAATCTCCTGTAAAAGCTCGGCATCCTCTGCGGTGAGCAAGTATTGAACAGCTTGCTCAGTCTCGGTCGATTCTGGTTCTTCCGAGTCCATGATTATGCATCACGCACTCCGTAGATTATTTCAAGTCTCAGGTTTTAGAGATCTGCGGTCTCTGTTTCTCTTTCCCTTGGCGCGGTAAATGCGGTAAATGCGGCAAATGACGTTATGTGGAGCTGTGGTTAGAATAGTACAATTATATTGTATCAACACACAAAATAAAATAAAAGAAACAAAGGTCAAGTATCAAAGTAAAGAAAGTAGGGAATTAAACAGATTATATAGCTATAAGCCTCTGTGTCACCTGAAATTGTGCTTCGCCTTAGCTCTCTGCCCCCCTGGAGGTTTGGTCTCTCTTTTCCTCTTCCTCTCCTCTCTCCATAACATCCCATACCACCCATATCATCCATTGACCCTTATTCCATTGAACAATGGATACACCACAAACACCCCAAGTTCGGATCCCTGGCGAAACCCCCGAATCGACCCAATCTGAACCCAATACAACTGCGACTGCGACTGCGACTGCGACTGCGACTGCGACTGCGACTGCGACTGCGACTGCGACTGCGAATCACAATTCCACCGAGATAGAGATGGGAGGAACACAGGACACAAGCCAACCTGAACCCGCACCTGCGCAAGAAGATTCGACACTTCCAGATGTGCAGGCAGAGCCAGAACCACCCGCTCCGGCAAAGAAGAACGCGGGATTCAACTTCCTTGAGTGAGTATTCTTTCCCCAAACCTTCGCGACACAACTCCTTTTTCAAAATGGCTTCACCTTCCATTATCCCAATCATAACTCACCAGCACAACCACTCGTAGCTTCCTGACTTCACCTATCGTTGAGATTATCGTTGGGAAAGGCGACGATGAGACCGTTATGACAGCTCATCAATCCCTCCTAATGGAGGCGCCCCTACTAACCGAGTTTGTTAAGAAATTTGAAGCGTCAGGCCCTGTGAGTGATTCGTTCATATCCGTTCCACGTCTATGTCTTATCCTAATTGGTTGTGGTTAATAGCGACGTGTCAGCCTACCAGAAGAGGATGTCGATGCCTTCAGTTGCTTCCTCCAGTTCCAGTATACGCGTGATTACACTGTGGTTCAAACGGAAACACCTGGGGAAGACAAACGCGGTGACGAGTTGCTGCGCCATGCGCGTATTTACACCCTGGCAGAGAAACTGGGCCTGCCAAACCTCCAGCGCATTGCCCATGGCAAAATTCATAAGGTCGAGAGCTCACCTCACGCGGAGCTTTCATATGCCCGTTACGTATACACTCATACACCAGCAGCAGACACTACCATCCGGAAGCCTGTGGCGACTTACTGGGCGAACCAAAGTCACGTGCTGCGCCAGGAGGTTGGGGACGACTTTAAGAAGCTGTGCATTGAAGTACCAGAGTTTTCCTTTGATGTTTTGACTATCATTCTGGATCGCAAGCTGAAGAACGGATCGGTGGATGAGATCAAGGGGAGTGCGCGCAAACGCAGAAGAGACATCTAGTTATTACCAGTTGTACAATCACATATCCGAGGATCCACAATGTTTTATCATAATTTGGTATGAAACCCTTGAACGGTTCACGGTTCAGGGGCAAAAGCTTGCTAATGGCCGCAGAGTGACTGCTTCTTATAAGGCCAGGCTCTCCACCTCCTCAATGATTTTCGGGGCCGTGGTCAGATTCTCAGAACCATCCTTGGTGATGTGGATGTTGTCTTCGATGCGCACTCCTCCCACACTCCAATACCGCTCCAAGACCTCAGTATCGATGTACTTACCGGTCTCGGGGGCCTTTAAGACGGGATCGATGATAAATCGACAGAAATAGATCTGGTAAATAATAAGAATTGGGTGTTGAGGAAAGAGGGTTTTCAAGGGGTAGTACTTACACCGGGCTCAACGGTGACCACGGAGCCAGCAGGCAGGTTAGCGCGAACACGTAGGTAGCGGAACATGGTATCATTGTCCTCATAGTTGGGGTTACCACCGGTATCATGGGTGTCCATTCCCAGGTAGTGACCGAGGCCATGAGGGAAGAAGGCCACGCTGACACGCTTCTCGAACAATTCCTCCTCGGATCCGCGCAGGATACCCAGCTTCAACAAGCCACGGATAGCAATGCGATGTGCCAGCGCGTGCACGTCATCCCAGCACACGCCTTCCTTGAGAATCGCAATACATTCCGTCTGCATCTGGAGGACAATCTCGTAAATCTGACGGGTCTCAGGCGCAAACCTTCCATTTAGAGGAATAACACGCGTGATATCGGCGCAGTAAGTCTGATATTCACCGCCAGCATCGATGAGAACATTATTCTTCCGCTGCTTAGTGATGGGATCGACCAGGTCGACATCGTTTCTAACATAGTGAAGAGTAGCACCCCCCTCACCTCCAGCAACGATGGGATGGTACGACTGCTCGCGACATCCATTGGCAATGCAAGCGCCGATAATGGCAGCCTCGATCTCGCGCTCGTTAGTGGCGGTCTTGGAGGCCTGGATAGCAGCAATGTGCGCTTTGGTCGAGATATCGTTTGCCTTTCGCAAAAGTGCAACCTCGTACGCATCCTTGATGACACGAGTCTCCTCGATGGCGGTTTTCAGGCTGGCAGTATTTGTTTCAGCGAAGCCCTGGAAGCTCGTTCCCTCTGACACCTGTTCGGCGATTGCAAAAGCAGCAGTTTGTCCATTGTGGTTCGAGGCGATTGACGCCAAAGTCGAATTCACATCGGTTGTGAACAGAACGCGATCCACATCGTAGAGCTTGGCAGCCTCCTCGGGAGAAAGAGGAAGACCAGACCAAATGACTGACTCGGGGTCGATCGGTGGAATGAACAGAGTCAATTCATCTTTGACAGCATCGTATAGCACGGCGGCATTGGGCAAAAGACATCCAGTGAGATAGAAGAAAGGACGACGTTGCCTAGACCGGGTTAGTATCAGTCCAAATCCTATAGAAATGCTGCATTACCTGAATGGCATATCCTCATCACTATCCTCGATCAATCGAGTTTTTTGAGCCTCGAGGTAGATAACTCCGGCCCCGCCATGCCGAGCCTTAAGAGACTCAGCGACACGAAGAGCATGGGCCTTAGCCGGATACTTGGCAGCGAGAATGGTATCCACAGTAGTCATATTGAGTTGAATTGTTTTGAGGGGAAAAAAAGAGAGAGAGAGAGAGAGAGAGAGAGAGAGAGAGAGAGAAACAGAGAGAGCTGTCAGTCTAATATTTACTAACAGACGAGGTTACATTGCGGGGCTTAGCGGGCTACCTAGGTATTCCAGGGCTGCCGTCAAAAGGAAAACTTGGTAGTAACACATTCATATCCGTGAAGATCATACATCATATTATTCGGATTATTCGGTTTCTTCATTCAAATCTCTCCAGGGCTAGCTCTCTGAAGCAGATACATCCTCAAACTCCATCTCCCATTGGTCCACTTCCGCAAATTTCTTGACTGCCGCGCGCAACTCATCGCTCACGCAACGAGTGGCCTCTGTTTCCATAGATTCGGAATCAGAATCAGAGACATCAGACTCAGGTGGTGATGACAATGGCGAAGAGGATGGTGATGACAGAAGTGTTTCGTTTTCTTTGTTGACACCACTCGCTTGAGAACGTGAATACGTAGCTGGTTCTTTCGGAGCCGACGATTTGTCCTTAATTTTCTTTTCTTTAATCTTCTTTTGCTTCGGATTGCGGGCGTTGGCTAATGGTTTGGGCTTGCTTTTCCCCGCCCGTCGCCCGGATGATATTTGTGATGGGTAGTTCAGCTCGTCCTCATCACCAGACGCGGCGTCATGCTGATCATCACTTTCGTCGCTGTAATCATTGATGGCGCGGAGTCTGTGCCGGCGACGTGGTAGAAGCTTGTCTTGCAGGTTTGCCGTCGATAGATGACTCGGAGCTTTGGACTTTTTCCTCTGAACAGGTCGCGGTGTAGAGTCACCAGGTGTAACGGAGCCCGCAGGACTGCTTGCCGGTGGTAACATAGTCTGGCTCAATAATTCCGGGAATCGTTGGGATTGCGATTGCGGCGTAGCCTCGACTATTTCAACCTCATCCTCCTCATCTCCAAGTTCCTCGTCTTCGGGTTCAACCTCATCTTCAGGAAGCTCGTCTTCAATATCATGTCGAGAGTTGTCGCGTTGAATCGGTGTCGCAGTTGGAGTATCTTCTACCATATCCACAGGCGACTGTGGTACTTGAATCTCTTGGGTCATGCGCTTGCGCTTGCGCGACCCGCCGGACGAGAGCGGTGATTCGGACGGTGACGGGGATGACTTCTCGGTTGGCTTGATAAGTAGTGACTTTCCCCGAGAGAGATTAAGTGGTGTCGATTCATCATTGGGGCTAAGCCCACCAAGGAAGTCATCATCATCAAGATCGGAAGAGCCATCGTCGTCAGCTTGCATCATCTGCAGAATGCTTTGCTGTCGCGGCCGCCGTCTGAAGTTGCTCAGAACCGAATTATCGAATCCAGGCGTTCCAGGAACTCGGGAGTTCGTGTCGCCTTTGCGTCCAGCGAATGATAGCGTAGAGGAATACCCGCGCGATCTTGTAGGGGGACGACTGCCGGTTCCAGGTCGACTGCCGGTGCCTGGCCGGTCCCCTGTGGGTGAAGATTCAATTGCTTGTTCATGACTTTTGGTCAAGGGTGTTTGACTGCGTAGCGCCTGTCTTGGATCCAAGGCTGAGCCGCGCTCAGGCTGCACAGGCGATTTGGCGACATTTGGGTCAATTTGTTGCGTTGAGGCTTCTATCGCCGTGTTTTTGGGCTGAGTCTTTCCCACTGTACGACTTCGTTTGGGGGCAGGGCGAGGCATGATTGAACAAATTGATTTGAACCAACCAGAGTATGTTAAGCCAAAATGGTTGCGCAGCTACAAATGCGAAAGAAGATCGACGCGTTTGTTTGGGACGCGTGCACGTGGACCACATGTGACATCGAACTCGATATCTACAATCATATTGTTCTCGGTCTATATTTCGTGCATATGCCGATATATATTGATATATTTATATCTACTAGTTTGCTTGTGCCTTTATTGTCTCCCATTTCCCGTTTTCCCTTTCGATGTTACAGTCGCAGGCTAGTATGCCCAACCTGCCACGGACTTACCCCCGTATCGAGTTGGGCCAACTATCATACAAGCACGAACACATGAAAGACTGGAACGGATTTCTATTAGAGGCCGGCCTTGCATTGTACATTATTGCCCGTGCCCCAAATTCTCCGGATCATTTCTTGCTCTCTTTGTCTCTACTCATCTTCAAGTATGGTCTGATGCCCGTCATGCCGACCAACCCCACGGTTTGGAATGGAATACAACGTTAAATACAACTGGACACAATCTCAGATTTGAACAATGACTCTGCCCCCAGAAAACGAGACGGTAGACCCCATGGGGGACTATGCAGTTAGCGACACATCCATCGGCAAAAGAAAGCGCTCGAATACAGAAGCTGCTGAATATCCCAGAAGACGGGCAACAATAGCTGTAAGCGCCTCTGGCACATTCGACCAAGGCAGATTTGACTTTGATTCAGTGTCAGATATGTCGGCTACGCAAAACCCGATGCAATGGGGCTCGTCCCAAGTGTCAACTCTGCTCCGATTTGAATGCGGAATGTGTCTATCGTGAACCCGGTATCAAACTCGACGCTGGCGACAAGCTCATCCTAGATCATTTGGCCAGAATTGAGAGTTTGCTGCATTCGAATTTACCAAACCAAGGGCCACATTTAGCCCTGTCCGCTACTTCCCCGGCCACTAGCAACGATACAAACCTTGGTAGCGATGATCCATCAACGAAAACATCATCCAGCGGCTTGCCGGTGCATGGAAGATTGTCTGCTGTTGGACTCGGTTCCTGGGTCAACCTACCTGCTAGTCTAAGCATCTCTACAATGCCCAAGATGCATACCACTCCTGCTCTACATCTCCTCCAGTGGCCCCTAATTCGGGACTTGGTCTCTGGGGCCAGTGATCCACAGCACCTTCTTCAATTGGAGATGGCCCGCGAACCATTGCGGCTGACTCCAAATTCAGGCTTTGACTTGACAAATGCATCCACGTATGCCCAGGCATTTTTTAACTATGGAAACGTTTGGTACGCCTGCGTGAACCCTTACACGTGGAATCGATATTATCAATCAGCTCTCGCGCAGGGATTTCAGGAAGGACCCATGAGTTGTCTAGTTCTTCTCGTCTTGGCCCTAGGAAGCGCCAGCCATAGTGGCAGTATCTCGTTTGTGTCACCAGACCGTGAGCCGCCGGGACTTCCTTATTTTGCCGCTGCGTGGAGCTTTCTACCGTCGGTCATGATGCGAAATACTGTGGTTGCGGCGCAGTGCATGGTCATGGCCTCTGCCTACCTATTCTATTTAGTGCGGCCCCTGGAAGCCTGGACCTTGCTATCCAGCGTGAGCATGAAATTGCAGTTGTTGTTTGGCAGTCCAAATCGGATTCCGACTCAGTGGAGAGAGCTGAGTGTGAGGGTATACTGGAATGCCTTGTTGTTTGAAAGCGATCTTCTCGCAGAATTAGATCTCCCCCATTCTGGCATTGTCAACTTTGAAGAACTCGTGGATCTGCCAGGGGGTTTTGAGGAAGAAGATGAGGATGACGGAGAGGAGGAAGACGGGGATCATAATGAGGGCGAAGAACGCCGAATGGCTAGGAAATATCAGGGTTCGTCACGCCCAGTGGACTCTCAACTGGCTATTCGGCGTGACGAACTCTGGTACTTCCTGGCAGAGATTGCGCTACGAAGACTCCTCAACCGCGTCAGCCACATCATTTATCAGAAAGACAGCACCCACACTCTCGCGTCATTGGGTCCGATTGTCTCCGAGCTCGACTTTCAACTGTCTCAGTGGTACGACAGTCTTCCCCGGCCTGTTCAATTCCCTTTGACCCCAAAGCCTCTTTCCAATCCGGTTCAAACGGTGCTGAGGCTTCGCTACAATGCATGCCGTACCATTATATATCGTCCATATATCTTGGCTGTTTTTGAGAATGAACAGGCTGGAGCGGACCCGGGGGTGAAAGAGTGTTGCCGACGATGTTTGGATGCTACACTCCGTCAGCTGGAGCATGTAACTAGCCACCGCGAAGGCCACCTTCCATACCTGTGGCAGGGTGCCCTGTCGATGGTATCACAGACGCTGCTGATAATGGGCGCCACAATGTCTCCTACTCTCTCTATCCTGCTCCCTCCTGCTTCACAGATAGATGGCATTATTGCGGGAGTGGTAAACGAGGTAGAGAGGTATGCACACCTAGCACCTAGCCTGAAATTGTCAGCCGAGATTATCCGAGATGCAGAGAGACGACGACAGATTTGTCTTCGATCAGCCAATATGTGCCTCTGAACTGCACACTGCTCCCGAGGGGGTTTATGTTAGGCCTCAACTCATCGTTGAATGACTGAATGATTTACCGTTTAAAGATGATTAAGACCTATGTATATAAGGACACGAACACAGTATGATGCCTGTAAGTACGTAAAGGATTGGATTGAAGGTGTGTGTGATATGCATTAGAGTGTGTCGTTAGGGCTCGCACTGAGGCGAGATCACCAGAATAACAGTTTATATGAGCAAGAAACAAACAGCGTTAAGTACAATTCCTTCTCATGACAATTATGTTCTTAAATCATCAAATATCTCACGGGTCAAAATCATGGTATCTCAAAAGACGTGGGGAGATCAAATATGGACATCAGAAATATCAAAAGAGACGCAGGAAAACTCCAGGCCTCCACTGGCTCTCAAAAAAGGGGGGGGGGGGGGGGGTGTTTAATTATCGTGTGGCTTCATATACTTCCTAAACCAACACCCACTCGCTACCTCGCTTGATGAACTTGTCGAGCATCAAGCCCACATCAGCCAATGCGAACCGACAAATGTAAAAGCCAAAGAATTCAGCAGCATGTCGTGTGCTGAGTTCCAGACCAACGTGGGTTTTGGACGAATGTTTGAGCCCAGGGTCCTCAACTTGCTGAGCAATTTGTTCTGGGAATGGATTAGAGTGGCGTCAAAGCATATAGACGAAAAAAGTCTTACCTAGCACCTGTGCAGCATCAAAAAGCCGCGCCAACGCCCCCATGTAGTTTGCATTGGGCCCAGAGAATTCAAGCTGGGTAACATTGCGCTTCGCAGGTGTTCCATGTACAGATGTCATCGGGACGGAATTGAGGACTAGATTGTCCTTGTTACTTTCTCGAGCACTCGGGACCGGAGTGGTTGTCCCAAGCCCGGAAGTTTTTGCGCGTAATCTTTTCCATGTCAAGTATGATTTGTTCGGCGCAACTTCTGGTTGAACAGGTTCATCCGGCGTGGAAGCGGGCTTAAACAATGGCATTGATGCTTGGACACCGACATCACTGCCCAATTTCTTAGTCAAGGTAACCTGAACTTGGTCGAGTATAGTATCAAACGACTGCATCTCCTCCAGAACCGCATCTGCATCATATGTATCGACTTGGGCCAATTTGAGCAGGGCGGCGGTCAGAAGATCGCAGTTGGACACTTTCTCTTCCAGGGCCTTTAGTTTGACATTTTTCACGCGCCAGACATCTCGAGGAATAAAGAGCTTCTCTGACAAATAGCCACCGTGAGGATGTGCAAGTGTCTGGTAGAGACATCTCATTAGCCAAAATGGGCGGAGAAGGAAACCCTCCGGACATGGCTCTAGAGGAAGCGGGGCATTGGCCACCAACGAATTTGGACGGCCAAGAGCTGTGGGTGAGTGAATGTTGCTACCAAACAGGTTTAACCCGCCGCTTGGCAGTCCATTTTGATTGAAGTTAAAGTTGGCTAGGGTCGGTGTGGGTAAAACAGGGACGCCGCTAGTCGCGCCCCTTTGAGTGTCAGGGAATGCACCGCTCCACGGGGAGCTTGGGGATTCCGGGCACATATCAGGGATCTGAATCGGAACAGAGGCATTCCGAGTTCGGAAAGGCTTTGTATTGGAGTGAAGTTTGTTCAATCCATCTGGAGCCGAGGGTACTTTGCCCATGGGCCGCGCTGACAGCGGCAGGGGTGGCAGTTCGTTCTCATCATCTTCATGAGTACGAGCTTTGGAGAGGTTGATGTGGTCCGTGAAAGAGCCCACCGACGGGTTGCGTTGTGTTGGGTGCAAAGTGGAACGGGCCCCAGGAGCAGAAGGTTCGTCTTTCGGCAACGGTGGCGGGCGATTTGCCTGTGGGGTTGCGACATTTTCAAAGGCCGATGATGCATTGGAATTAGCGCGAGAGGAGCGGGTATTGGTCTCGATTTTAAGCTCGCGAGTCTGGCTGGATAGTCTCCGGGCTCGCACTCCTGGACCTGTAGAAGAGACGAGTGAGCCGATAGAACCAGCACGGTTTGATATCGAGGCCCGCTTTGAAGGAGCCGGGAAGTCGGATGAGGCTGGCAGGGGTGGCAAAGCCGAAGATGGAGGAGAAGAGGGCATGATATATGGTTCGGGCCTTAGGTCGCCTAGTGGCAAGACATCATCTTCTGCAAGCGTAGACAGTGCACCCCCAGTGTTGGCAGCATTAGACGTTGCGGAGCTTTCCCAGGTCCTCCCAGACATGTTGCTAGAATCCGATTCTCGAGGGAGTGCCGACTTGGACTGAATGCCGAACTCAAAGTCGTCCATCACGTAGCCCTTGGTCATCTCTTCTAGCAAACGCTCCTCTTCCTCTGCTTCATCGTCCAGATATGCCGAAGTACGGGCAATGAGGTCATTCCCAAAAGTTGTCTGTTCCTGGATCCGGCGCATTTCACGATCACGATTCATTGCCTCTGCTTCCTGTTCTGCCTCGCGCACTCTTTGCTTCGCTAATTGGATGTTCCTGCGAGCATTTGAAACAACATCATCGCTTTCCTCTTCTTTGTGCTCCGGCACCGGCTCCAGACCTTCATCATATGCAGCTTCCACGGCTGCATCGAGGGCCGCATCAAACTCCGCCTCGGTGTCATTACTGAGACGACGGCTTGTCCGGCGACGAAGGTACACCGATGACGCCTTGGAGTTTGCCGACGAGGGTGACGAAGCACCCGATTCATCAATTGTGTCCAACCATGAAGTGGATTCATTGGTGTCCTCCTGGCTGCCCGTCTGCAATGTCATCGATCGGGGTTGATCTTCCAAGGCAGACGGCTTCAAGGATTGTCGCCGAGGGGGCACTGCTTCCAGGGAAAATCCCCTTGTCTCTTCCAGTGGAATCTGGTGGAACCCAAAGCTGGAACGAGGTGAGTTCTGCTGGCTCTCGATATGGGATCCATCATACCCATCATTTGTCGAACGAAGCAATTCTCCATATGACTCTTGGCTGAGGGGCCGATCTGGAAGAGCTTTGTCGTCGCTCTCTGGGAGAGGAAAATCCATACGATGAAGTTCCGTGACCCGGAGCATATATGTGTCTCGAATTTCTTGAAGTTTGAGTTTCTCTTCGTCTCCTCCATTGCTACGGACCATGACAAGCTGAAGCAAGTTGCAAGCGTCGGTGTAAGCTTCCATGGCACCCTCGAAATTGGCAGCGTTATCAAGAAGGACTGCCGTATTTGCTTTCTGAAGTGCCTTTGACAGCATCACCTTTTGGGTCTGTCCATGTTGTATGGCCGCCGGGTCTCCTTCCCCGTCATTTAAAGAAATAGACCCCCCACTGGATCTAGCAAGTGGCATATCTGTTTTGTTGCTATGTGTTGAGGGTTGAAAAAGATGGCTTGAGGCCGCAAATGAGAGATCAAGTTGTTGTGATGTTGAGTCATGGTTGAATATGGCAGACTTTTCCAGTTCCGGCAGATCAAGCATCGGCAACCCATTCAGCCCTTGCACACGTTGGGGGCTGTGGCTCCCCCGTCCACGATTGTAACCTGATATGGACATTTTCGAGCTCCCTCGACGATGATGACCGATGTACTCCGAGGGACTTTTACTAGATGCCGTTGACTGGGACCAGCGATTTAAACTGCCGAGCCCTTCTTTGATAGGGCTGGTCGCTCCGAGACCCTCTGGGGACAAGTTTGCCACATTCTCTGTAAGCACGCCGAGACCAGTGGGTGTAACCGCAACTGGCGGCTTTACCATTCGAGTCCGAGAGCTAGGCCGTGACGAGCGAGAGGAAGGCCGGTTATGGGACGGTCCAGACGGTGGGTCCGATGCAACGGGGCCCGAAGGACGTCTAATGTAGGATGAATTGGGATCATCATCGACTGCTGTGTGGTGAATCATTTTCGCAAAACGGTGGAATAGCGGTCGAAGTTTAGCGAATGATTTAGATGTCGAAGATGTAATATATCAAGTCTGTCTGAAATTGTGTACCCTCGAGGTACTACGCGCGACCAGACAAGCACAATAGAAGAGAGAAATGGGTATCTGCAACCAGGTCCTGTGTGTCTTCGCTCATTCTTCGCTAGTTTGGAGGTGTTGATGTGGTCGTATGTCTCGCAGAGTATCCTCGGTTTTGAAATACCCCCTATCCGTCTCAATACATAGCTTCGTAATCGGGAGGGCTCGAGGGTTTCAAAACAATAGGCTAAGAGACATTATTTCAATTGACCTAGAACGATCAGGAATCATGCGCATTGAAGATCAGGAACCAAACTCACAAATCGGGGGATTTCTTGAGAGTCAACCACACTTGCAAAATGCGCCTCGAAAAAAAAACAAGAGTCTGTTGAATCTGCAGAAGGGCAGACTAACAGTTGTCACTTCTGGATGTTCGTCAGGGGCGCTGAACTACTTCAGGGGGGGTTCCCGGGTGCCGGGCGGTGGGAGTAAATGGGGGAAAAAAAAAACAACGCGGGGACCTCGGAAGGATATACGATGAGTTTTGAAAGATTAGAAGAAGTAATAAAGAAGACTCTTGATTGTGGATTCTGGATTCTGGAGTCTCAAGGGAGAAGAGAGGGAAAATAAAGGGGAGGGAACACTTCTCCCTAGCGCAGGCCTATATACATACAGGGATAAGCTAGGTTATTGTACAGAGAGTAGTAGAATAGTAGAATTAAGAGATTTATATTAGAAACTTGAAACAACTTAATACATAGAAACATATTTAATAATAAAATATAAGTACATAAGTATTTCGTAGTATAAATTGTAAATAGTAAAAAGACTATATAACCTGAGACATGAAGTTACATAGCACACGCTTAGAAACGGGAAATGGGGAGATGGCCAGATAGCCAGATATGGGGGGGAAAATTTCCCTCAACTTCATGAATCCCACCTTAGGTCGTTCCTTGACTCGGAACTTGAATCCTTTCAATTTAGTCCGTACTTCCAAGGTGCAATTCACCTCAATCCGAACTATGGCTACTATCAACCCTCCGCGGGATCCGAACACCGTGAGTAACTACAATAATTGGCGTTCCACCCATATCACCGCCAATTTCGATATTCTGTTCCACCAGAAGAAGCTGGTGGGAAATGTCGTCCATCAATTCAAGTCAATCACCGATGGCGAGTCCCAGGAGATTATCCTGGATACCAGCCATCTCGACATTGGCGCGGTGAAGGTGGATGGCCAGCCATCCAAGTGGGAGTTTCTCCCCCCGCTGGAGCCCTATGGTGTGCCATTGAAGATTAGCCTTGAGAAGCCCGTCAAGTTGAATGGCACTGTTGAGGTTGATGTATGTTTTGCAATCATTCTCACCATGAAGCTCTATCTCACCCAAATCGTAGATCGAGGTGAAAACCACCGACAAGTGCACCGCGCTGCAGTGGCTAACGCCTGCGCAAACCTCAAACAAGAAACATCCATACATGTGTATGTGATAATCGTGAACTTTCCTTGGAGCTCCAGTAGCTGACAAAATTGCCTAGTCTCCCAATGCCAGGCAATTCACGCGCGGTCTATCTTCCCTTGTCAGGACACTCCGGATGTCAAAGCCACCTTTGACTTCAACATCACCTCTCCGCTCCCGGTCATGACTAGCGGCCTGCCGATTCGCAAGTCATCCATGGAGTCAAAGGCGGATCACCAACTGTATCGATTCCACCAGTCGGTGCCAATCCCCAGCTACCTCTTTGCTATCGCTAGCGGGTAAGAATTCTCCACCATTCTCAAAGGTATTGTTTATTAATGCAGAACTCCACAGTGATGTCGCCGAGGCTCCAATCGGACCCCGGAGTGTCGTTGCAACCAGCCCTGACAAGCTGGAAGAGTGCAAATGGGAGCTCGAGGCTGATACTGAGAACTTCATCACAACAATCGAGGTACTTAGCCTATGTTCTATTCATATTAATAGTCAATTCTGACTTCACACAGAAAATTGTTTACCCTTATGCCTGGGGCGAGTACAACGTTTTGATCCTGCCGCCCAGTTTCCCGTATGGCGGCATGGAGAACCCGATTTTCACTTTTGCAACCCCCAGTATCATCTCGAAGGTACGTAGTATCTTCTGTGCAATGGTTAGATGGACCATGATTAATAGGTTCTCCAGGACCGTGAGAACATCGATGTTATTGCACACGAGTTGGCTCACAGCTGGAGTGGTAACTTGGTTACCAATGCCTCATGGGAGCATTTCTGGTTGAATGAAGGCTGGACCGTTTACCTCGAGCGAAGGATTTTGGCTGCCATTCACGGCGAAGCCTACCGCCACTTTTCGGCCATCATTGGGTGGAAGTCTCTGACTGACGCCGTCGAGCATTTTGGTGACGATCATGAGTTCACTAAACTTATCGTTGATCTAAAGGGCAAGGATCCCGACGACGCATTTTCAAGTGTTCCTTATGAGAAGGGTTTCAACTTCTTGTTCTACCTTGAGAATCTTCTTGGCAAGACAAAGTTTGACAAGTTCATCCCTCACGTACGCAATTTCTCTTCTCTCGTTCGATTTCTTCTATTGACATTTTTTGGGGCAGTATTTCACAACCTTCAAGTGCAAATCGCTCGACTCCTATGAGTTCAAAGCACTGATTCTGGACTTCTTCAAGTCAGATGCCGAGGCTTCTAAGCTCCTGGATGAACTTGATTGGGACAAGTGGTTCTATGCGCCTGGTCTACCACCCAAGCCAAGCTTTGACACATCGATGGTGGACGTTGTCTATGAACTTTCCAAGAAATGGCAGTCCCTTCCCGACTCTTCCTTCAAGCCTCATATCAGCGACATCCAGGGCTTGACCGCAAACCAATTGGTTGTCTTCTTGGAGCAGATGCTCTTGCTAGAGAGACCTCTCACCCCTCAAACCTCAAAGTTGATGGGTGATGTTTACGGTTTTACCAAGAGCGAGAATATCGAGGTTTCGAACCTCTACTGCCAGGTTGGCATGAAAGCGGGAGATGACAGCGTCATTGAGCCAACAACCGAGTTGCTGGGCCGCATTGGACGGATGAAGTTTGTGCGACCTTTGTAAGATGTCCCCGTCCTAACCACAGATTCGGTCCTTGATACTGACCTAGCCTTTTTTTTGTTTTGTTAGGTTCCGCAATCTCCAGAAGATCAATCGCCCTGTCGCCCTCGCAACATTTGAGAAGTACAAGGACTTCTATCATCCTATTTGCCGAGGCATGGTGGAGAAGGACCTGTTTGGCAAGAAAGACAACTAGGTCTTTCTCTCCGTGTCGTGTTTTGCTCAAGTAGGTAGACAGTGAATGCTCACATTTGTTTTTGTGTCGTGATCTTGAACAATAAAAATTCTTATACAAAAAGAGTAGGGTAAAATATTGTACATGTTTTTATAACCAAATGGTATAAAATAGCAGAACGGATACCACAAAGGCAAGCCACTCACTTATGTGAGGATATCCCCTCATTTGTTTGCTTGAACAAGTTTCTTGTCCGTCTCCGAGTACTCGAAGATACCAGTGTTCTCACCACGTCCAAGAGCGAAAACAAGATCCACCTCGTCCTTCTTTGATAGCTCCGATAAGACTCGGCGCATGTAGGCCACCACGCGGGCAACCTTAGCCCAGTCAATTTCTTCTTTTCCATCCGGTCCGGTCTGACTTCCCTTCCAGAGGTTTCTCCAGACAGCGGCGCCCAGCACCGCATCGCCTTTGGCCAGCCCCTCATCATATGCAGCAATGATTCCACGCCATTGAATAAACAGATCCTTCAGGTATTTGTTGCGAATAGTGCGACTACCCAGATCATGATACGCGTCCATGCGGTGTTCCGCTTCATGCGAAAAGTGATCGATCAAGTGGCGGGAGTAGGTAGTAACGCTATCGCGATGGGGCAGGGCACGAAGGCGAACCGTCAAGAGGTACATGTGGAGGAAAGTCACCTGGGACCAGGTAGAAAAAGTTGGCAAGAGGCCGAGCTCTAGAGCAATGCCCAAAATTAGCTAGTTGTCTTCAAACCAGATCATAGCCCAATCGGGAGACCGCTACGATTGTCTCACCTTTATACCACCAACCCTCTCCAACACCAAGATCCTCACCAGCTTCTGTTTTTGGGACCTCTGCTCCCTTTTGCGACGCTTGGGGGATCTTGTAATCCGCTTGGCTGGAACAGGCCTCAAATAGCTTCTGTGTCATACCATACGCGACATAAGTCTCGGCGGCATTTCCGGGTCTCCGGGAAAAGTCCTTAGCCAAGTCGGAGACCTTGCTTTGCGAATATGATCGAGTGGTGATCGATTTCAATGGCTGTTCCGTAGACGTAGACGCACAGGAGGCGGACACCAGTGTTATCGGGCTGCGGCTAGCGGATCTGGAAAGGTAGAGGTTCTGAGACCCGCGAATATCGCGCGCCCATATTGTTGATAATCTCCTGGATGACATTGCTGAGGATGTGGAATTCGTGAATTGGTCCCTCGTGGCTGGTGATCTGGATCTGTTTTTGATAAAATGTGTTTGCATTGTTTGTTCCGATATGGAGGGAGACAGCCCTGGAGCCACTGCCCTGACCAATCTGAACATCAGACAGGCGTATATCTGGACGACATACCCTTGCAAGCTACTACTGAGCTTGATTATATTTTCGCACTTTTATACTCTACGTGAAGCTCCTGCTGATTATTTAGTTCATAGTTTAGTGCTATCTAACTCAAGCTCTATCCCATTCGTGTTGATCTGCATCGTTTGAATGTGTCTCATGAATTTGATCATTAAGTGTGGTAGTAGATCTGCAACCCAACTAACCAAGTCCAGCAAAAGACTCGTCTGGGCGAATCCGGGGCATTTTCATTCCCAACGTTCAGGCGTATAGTCGTCATTACCGAGTGGTGTATTTCGTTTGTGGAGACGATCAGGTCCTAAATGACCAACAGCCCAGAAACACTGATATCTGTATCCGAGCCCAATGGTTGGCTAGGCCCCACGGATAACCGGAATATGGAGCGTAGATCTCTCTCAATCGTCTAGCACCAATCGCTCGGAGCGCTTTTCTACAAGAGGGAGAATCTCAGAGAGGCGATTGGGATCTCTCAAGAAAGCCGGAATATCGTCCCTAGTTGCTGCTAACATCTGTGGATAATTGTCAGATTAAACATACATCCACGATGTCCAATGACCGCACATACCTGTCGAACTTTCTCATATTCACACTCCTTTGAAACATATTCCCGAATAACTTCACCTGTCGCAAAGTCCACATAGACTCGAGTATCTCGGAGTCGGATCAAAACGTGGTCAAGCCTCATGAAGAACCTTGTCAATAAAAGGAGTCTTCCTGGCATGACTCGGATCTTGCAAGACAGCATGGTAATCCCATTGTCCGCCAGCTCGTCTTCGTAAAGAACAACCTCGTCAAAAAAGAGGATGGGGTCTGGGCGCTTCAATAGTTCAATCGGAATGGGCTTCGTCGTTGGCTCGAACGGCCGCGCATTAGGATGGAGGGTGCCCTTGTAGTCGGTGCTATATGACCAGTCGAATGGCTTCACAACTTCTTTAATTCCTTCATGGGTTTTCTCTCTGAGTACCAAGCCATTAGTCGCAACGATCGAATAAGCGCAAGTGGGAGGCTGCGAAAATACCTGCTCTTTTGCCATTCTCCCGAGTACGCGACCTGGAGCATGGATTGACCAGTCTTGTCCACCAAGTCCAAGGCATCAAACGCATTGAAATTGATGCCCCAATTACCCTTCTCATACTCTATTGCAACATAATTATCACCGAAAATCATTTCTGGGGGTGCAATGCCGAGTTTCTGGGTCATTTCCTCGATCGGGTCGGCTTTCAGAATGGGTAGCTTCTGTGTTGAAATTCGAAACCCGTTGATGGTGATTGAGTTGGGTTTCTTTGCCTCCGGGGAGACCGTGGCACATGTTGTTACCATATTTAGAGCTTGACAAGAAGCAGCGAGAGATCAAAAAACAGCTAAGGATCTCCAGAGCTATGTATAAATGTTTGCGATTGGAGGTGATAGCGATAACCCCGCGGACGGAGAAAGAGGCGGTCCGACCCTGCAACATTTGTTCGGCAGAATCTTTAAAGGCTCAAGAGGCTTTGATTTGATATTAATAGTCAATGGGTCTGCTCTTTTCAATTCTTTTGAAGATAGTATCCTGCTGCATTCTAAATGCTTTATTTGAATAAAATCCTGACAGTATTATCTTCACCTCAAGCTGCAAATACAGCATACTCTTCAAGCATATTATTGGTACGGAGATACACGTAGGCGCTCAGAGCGGAAAGGATGGCGGTGTGATAGGGTACATATATTACATCAGCCGGGCGTTGCTGGGGTGACGCTCTGGGGATCGCCCAAACACCCGAGCTTCTGTTTCTCTCTCCATCTTTGCGATATCCCCCATCGACCAACGACTGACCCCGTGCAAAGTGATGATGATTGCACTGGACTAAACTCAAACGCAGATTTAGCTACTTTTTATACAATTCGCTTCTTTCCATACCTTATTTTCGCCTACCATTAGTCCCATACACCCTCTCAACATGGCGACGACCAAGACGCTCGAAGCTCGCTTTGAGCATTTGTCTATGAAAGATGAGAAGGAAAATGGAAACAGCGATCGAACCTATGGCAAGCAAAAGGTACTTGACTCGATCCAATCTGGTTGGAGATTCACCTTGCTGATCTGATTCACCAAGGCCCCGGTCTCTTCAGTCCAGTCAAACAGCAATTCGAATCGAGCTCAATTACTGAAATTGGCTCTTCAAAATAATAATGAAAACAAGGCAAATGCCATGAATGTTCCAGCCTCGCCAGGCAGGGGATCCCACGGCGCATTGGTGACCCGGACCACCGATGAAAACGGCGACCAGCGCACATCTTCTTCCCTCTGTGAGCAGCCAACTGTACCCAAGGACCTGCACTTGGGAATGTTTGAAATTGGGAAACCACTAGGCAAGGGCAAGTTTGGGCGAGTTTATCTTGCCAAAGAACGTTCCTCTGGCTTCGTCTGTGCACTAAAGGTGCTACACAAGTCTGAGTTACAACAAGGTGGTGTCCAGAAGCAAGTCAGGCGTGAAATCGAGATTCAGAGTAACCTACGTCACCCTAATGTCTTGAGGCTCTATGGTCACTTCCATGACAGCAAACGAATCTTCTTGATCCTCGAGTTTGCTGGCCGCGGTGAGCTGTACAAGCACCTACGCAAGGAGCATCGGTTCCCGGAATGGAAGGCCGCACAATATATTGCACAGATGGCTGCAGCATTGAAATATCTGCACAAAAAGCATATCATGCACCGTGATATCAAGCCTGAGAACATCCTTGTTGGCATTCATGGAGAGATCAAAATCAGTGATTTCGGCTGGAGTGTCCATGCCCCCAACAACCGACGCCAAACGATGTGTGGAACTCTCGACTACTTGCCCCCAGAGATGGTTACTCCTGGCTCCAAGGACAACTATTACAGCGAGAAAGTGGACTTGTGGAGTCTGGGTGTCTTGACTTATGAGTTTTTGGTCGGCGAGGCTCCATTCGAAGATACTCCTATCATGACCCAACGGCGGATTGGAAGGGCAGATATGTCGGTTCCCTCCTTCGTGAGCCCAGAGGCGAAGGACCTTATCAAGAGGGTGGGTCTATCTTTCTACCAATACATATGGCCCGCATGCTCACATATTATCTAGCTTCTTGTTCTTGATCCCGCGAAGCGAATCCCGCTCGAGGAGATCCAGCGTCATCCTTGGATTATCAAGCATTGTGTAAAAGATGATCGAACTGTTAAGCGGAGTTCGGGTTCTTCCAAAGAGGCCAAAGCATGAACCATGACTTGACCCTTGCATGGTAGACTTTCTGGGAGTTCTGGTTATCTTTTGTTTTTGACATTTTTCTCATGTGGAGTTTCGGTGTTCTGAGCCTGCAAGCATTTTCAAGGCGTGTTGGGTTTGTCTTGGAGTCCAGCTGGAGAGGTACTCGCGATATGGCGATATTTTGGTCTTAATTTTATTTCGCCTCCGACGTGTTCAATCCAACATGATACATTTGAACAACTCCATAGAAGGTACAGCTCTCTGCGATCTCGCACATGTTTTGCATTTATATCCAAGACGTAGGGCGCAGAATGGTAGGGGACTAGATCTATAGGTTGTGTTCCTTGACTTCATTGACAACAACTATCATAAACTATGTATATTTTGATCTCATCTCACCTCTAGTGCCCTCAATTAGGTGATAAATAGCCTATTTTTACCAGTAAACAACCCCAAAAGAACTCCAGTAGATAGGTAGGAAGGTTCGTGTCGCTAGTGAACCCCATGAAATATAGTACATCCAAACAATATCTATCATACAAAAGGGTGGAGAATTGTACAACGCTGCACGAGTTGTGGTATCATCGGTAGATCTCATCAAATGGGCGTGTGTCCCTGAAACAGCTATCCCAGACTTCATTGACAACCCTTGTGGCATGGGCTTCGTCTTTACAAGTTGGGCGTGCTCGAACAGAGAGGATGGCTCTCCGCCGGACGCACTCTTGGTGCTGTTGTGTAAGTTTCCACTGCCCTCTTCGGAAGAATTCGCGCGCCCATCTGCACTCGCCGCTGAGCGAACTAGCTCGAATCTAGACGGATTTAGCAAACGTTAACATGTTAAGACGACACGAATGACACATACCTCGGTACACGCCGCATGTCGCAGATTATCAGACCAATTCACCTTGAACCTGAGGTGGTCAAAGGCATGAACCATCTCATGGGCCATGGTATCTTCGAGGTGTCCCTGGTCCTTCATCTCATTTGCGCAGATCAGGATTCCATATTCCGGATCGAAGCCACCACCCTTCCGATCAGGACAGCGACGACAGTAGATATTATGATCGTGAAGATCGCCTCCTAATTGTTGAATGCTTTCGCTGAGGAATCGAATTGTAGGACCTAATAAATTGACCTTGTCAGTATCCGGCTCAGATAACTCTTAAGACAAGTGACTCACTATATTGAAGAAGATAATCCCGCTGATCCTCACAGCGCTTGCAGTCTGCTTCTTCATTGCGAGTGTCTCGCGCAACACGGAACTGCTCGATCCCTTCGTTGGACATCTTGCCCGTGAGGATGGAATAGATGTTGCGGAATTGAGTCCAGGTATCTTCACCGGGGAGAAAGCCTGTAGTATCAGGCTTTCCATTTGAAGGTGCAGCCGCACCTGGCGACTGGGAGTCTGTCATTTTCGATCGTGGACTTGTCGAGAGTCATCCATCACTGCGCGCGATAAAGCGAGATCCTCCGCAAATGGCGGTGGTGGCCGGCAGAATCAGCGCCGTAATCGGGCAAAAAGTGCCCGTCCGCGTTTTGATCGCCGCGGGGCAGTGAACAGAACAAAGCCCTTTCTGTATTCTTTTCGTTTGTTTCTTATTTATTTGTTGCTGGGAGGTTTATTTAAACTGGGCTTTGCGCCATGGCGACCTCATCGGGTCTCACAATCGTGATCAAATTAGGTGCGGGGATCTATATTTGTTGTCCGATGACTCGAGTACTGACCACTCAATGTAACAGGAACGAGTTCGATTGTTGACGAGAAAACCCACGAGCCAATTCTTTCGATATTGACATTAATCGTGGAAACGGTGACCAAGCTACACAGAGATGGTCACCGGGTTGTCCTTGTATCCTCTGGTGCCGTGGGCGTTGGTCTGCGAAGAATGAATGTGGACGAAAGACCAACATATCTGCCGCGCATACAAGTATGTCTTCGATTCTACAGAAATAGAAGCTCATATAATATGTCTAATGGTAAAGTTTCTAATGGAAATCTATAGGCTCTCGCTGCAGTTGGCCAATGTCGACTAATGAGTCTTTGGGATAATCTATTCTCGCATCTTCGTGTCCCTGTGGCCCAGATTCTTTTGACGAGAAATGATATCGCTGATGTATGTACTCTTATAACTGCTCAGGTCTGTTCCTCCACTGACACTCAATACAGAGAACCCAATATGTCAATGCGCAAAATACATTTGGACAGTTGTTTGATATGGGAGTAATTCCTATTGTCAACGAAAATGATACCCTGGCTGTTTCTGTAAGGAAATTTCCCTTCCCAGACACAATCACGCATCTGACCCAATGATTTCCAGGAAATTAAATTTGGCGACAACGATACCCTTTCTGCAATTACCGCGGCTATGGTCAAGGCCGACTATCTGTTTTTGATGACCGATGTCGACTGTCTTTATTCAGCAAACCCTCGAACCAACCCAGATGCAAAACCCATTGAGGTGGTAACCGATATCTCCTCTCTCGAGGCTGACGTCTCATCAGCCGGCTCCTCTCTTGGCACTGGAGGTATGAGCACGAAGATCGTGGCTGCAAAGCTTGGAACCAGTGCCGGTGTCACTACAGTTATCACCAAGAGCTCAAAACCAGGCAACGTTCACGACATTGTGAAATACTTGCAATACCTGGAGGCTCGGTCCAATGGCGTAGGAGCTGACGACCAAAATGAGGCACCCACTGCCCCTCTTCATACCCGATTCATCCGTTCAGATACCCCGATTCAATCACGGACATTCTGGCTACTCCATGGACTGTACCCACATGGTACATTATACATCGACCATGGAGCTTACCACGCACTTTTGAATAATGCCAATCTTCTCCCGGCTGGAGTGGTTGGCGTTGAAGGCCATTTTGGACAGCAGGAATCCGTGCGGCTAGTGGTTGTTGATCGGCCATCTCCAGACGCCTTGAATGGCGATTTTATCCACCATAGAGAGGAACCCAAGGAAGTCGGTCGGGCTCTGGTGAACTACGGAAGCATTGAAATCACACATATCAAGGGCCACCGCAGCACGCAGATTGAGACGCTACTTGGCTATGCCGATAGCGACTGTGTGGCAATGCGAGAGAACATCTCGTTCCACCCTGAAGACCACAGTCATACAGTGACACCGTCATTAACACCGGCCTTGGAGGAATGGAAGTCCCCTTGAGGCATAATGTTGGATCATCCAGTATACGCATATTACGAGCAGAATCGAAAATTTTCTTGCATTCAACTGCAGTGGATGGTCGATATTCCCAGTCAAACCTTGATCGTTTCAATATAAAAGTTGCTTGGGATATATAGGCCAACAATTAAAACAAACGACCAAAAAAAAAGAAACACTCATGTCTGGGTAAACCTCAAACTCATGACCTCCAAAGCGTGAAAGACATCAGGAAATTGGATGTTTCCACCTCAATCAAAGCGCCATGTAAAGATATCTGAGAAAACAACAATGACAAGATGTTCGAAAGCCTATCAATCATTCCAACGGTCCAACCATTTCTGCATTCTTTTGTCTAATGTGGGCGCAGGAGCGGGCGCAGCCTGAACAAAAACAAAACGATTAGCTTTCAAAACCAACCGACAAGCAATCAAGAATCAAACTCACCGTGTTCTCGATGGTGTTTGCCGTCCATGTCGCGAAAGCTGTGTCCGTGTACTGGACGGTTGGCGCACCTAGGTAGCTAGTCGCAATGGAGAACGGGAAAGGCGGATATTGAGGAGTGGCCGATCTTGTTGCGACAGTAGTCCCGGCGCTCTTGGGCATTGGGGCGTATTTGATTGAGCCAGTCTGCTCACCATATGGGACAGTATGCTGGTCAACTGCAGTAACAGCAGGAACGGCATAAACGCCAACGCCGCCGAAAGCAGCCACCTGTCGTTTGCGCAGTTCATTGTGCTCGGCTTCGCCTTTGACGGTTGGGGTTGGGAACTGCAAGGCCGTTCCGGTTGAGGAACTCTTAGTGAGACTCGAGATGTTTAAAGTTGAAGCGAGTTCTGCGGCCTCGATGAGGTGATCATTGTCTTCGACCGTAGGCCAGGGAATAGCGATGGCAGGAATCGGCTGCATTGTTTTGATCGCATCTGTTACTTTGGTCGAGAAAGTACCTTTCATGTTGGTCAAGGTGAAATGGGAGGTGAACGCGGACCAATAATCATGAGGGCCTGTTAGAACTATCTTGAGGAAGCTGATGGAACCCCGGGGACAATTGGTCAGTCACAAAGGGGATTGATGAAACCGCTGATGCTAGGGGAACATTATCTTACTATGCATTGGGTTCATTTCCACCGATATTTTGGTCGACTTCAAATGACACCATGTCACCAGGAGCATAGGAACCATTGCTGATGACTTGCGATAGAGTGTCCTGAATATGTGGTTAGCTCTATGCTTTCCATTTCTGCAAAGAGAGAAAACATACATATGAACCTGTTGTCTCGTCACCGGCACAGAGATAAAAATTATAAGTTGAAGTCGGCTCGCATTCTAAGCCGCAAAGCAGACTCACGGGAGCTGCAGCGTCGAAACTCAGATCATATGTTGTGAACTGAGAACTGATCTGGCCATAGGCGGCCGTAAATAACAGGGCGACCTGAAGCAATTGGAGTCGCATGGCTGATATGATTGAGAAACACGGGTTTCGAGAGAACAGAGAGTGATCTCCCAGTCAAAATAGAGGGAAACCATCCCTTCATAGTGATTTTCTGGCCTGGTATGTGCATCATTCCTAAGCCCTTGAAGCCCTTGGAGTGAGGGTCTATAGAACGTGTGATGTGCACTAAGATAAGGGAGATGGTCCGTGCTATCAGGCGGCTTCTCCTGTCAAAGTGTCAGCCCACAACTCTTGACAACTTCCAACCATGTCGTCTCAAGCAAACTGGAACTCAGTTACTGGCATTGCCACACTGTTGTTCGATGGCAACCTTGTCGCCATTGCTATCGCAATCATCTTTACATTTGGTGTCCCGATCGCACTGCACATCTTCTTCTTCCAGACTGTAGCGTCTCCGCCCTCGAGTAATTTCCTACTCCTAGGCCCCAGTGGAGCTGGCAAAACTGCTTTTTCAACCTTAGTACATTGCATTCCATGACCTGAGAGTGGTTGAGCCCTTGCTAACTAATCTATAGCTCGAGGCCAAGTCCTCACTCGCTTCGAACAAGTCGCACAGCACCCACACCTCCCAACAATCAACCCTAGTAACCGTAACCTTACCACCGACTGTCCCAACCGGATCCAACCGCTACCGATCAGTGAACGATCCCTCCTTGAAGGAGGCCATCCGGAATCCAATCAAGTACCGCGTAAGGGATACCCCTGGCCATGGCAAGCTCCGCGTCTCGCAAGGGATCTCCGAGCTCCAGACCATGTCCCAGTCAAAGGACATCAAGACAAGGCTACGCGGCGTGGTATTTATGGTCGATACCGCTGCTCTAGTTGACGAAGCGACGCTACGTGACACCGCGACCTATCTGCACGACGTTCTTCTCTTTCTCCAGAAGCGCGCAAAGAACGGGTCATCGAGCAAGCGGACCACTGATATCCCTGTCTTAGTCGCCGCGAACAAGCAGGATCTATTCACTGCATTGCCACCGGGTGCGGTGAGAGAGAAGCTGGAAGCGGAGATTGATCGCATCCGCAAGTCGAAGACCAAGGGTCTTCTGGATGCAAGTGCGGATACTGGGTTGGAAGACGAAGAGGAGGAGATCTTGGGTAATGATGAACAGGAGACTTTCAGCTTCAAGCTCCTGGAGCACGAGGTCGGTGTCAAGGTTGATGTGGTTGGTGGTGCTGTCAAGGGTGACTTGCAGGAAGAGTTCGGATCTGGAGTGCGCCGCTGGGAAGAGTGGGTTGGTATGTGCTTGTGAGCGATGCGAGTTTTTGCTCTCTTGTCTTGATGGTCCGAAATAGTAAATAGGTGGTCCTATGGTATGCTTGTATATGTTATGCCGGAAAAAAAGAAAAGTTGCACCGAGGTTCTTGAGAGACTACAATGTGGTATTCTATTGACATTGCCAATCCAATCCCAGTGTCTCTGTAGCTTGGGCATCAATCCAATCCTGTATGGTCAGTAATGATAGAAACATAACGCTCGTGAAAGAAAACATAGTACTCACCCACATATCTTGGGCAAGCTTCATATCTCTAGATATCGCGCTGGGCTCGCACAGCGTAGCAATAGGTATAAAATACTGACCACGATGATTCTGCTCTCGCACCTCATGGCTAGCAGCAAGATATAAAGCCGTAGCAGCACCATCCTCCAAACTCTGACCCAACCACGATCCTGCCGTTCTTATCAGCCAACCTAGGAATCTCCCAAAATAAGAATCCCACCCGAGCCATTGATCAGTAACGATGTTGCCTGGGAAGAACGAATTGACATAGATCTGCTTGCTCGCTGGATCTTGATCTTCCAGAAGCCGCCGACTGAGCTCTTTGGCAAAGAGGATGTTACCCAGCTTTGACCGGCCATACCGCCATACTCCATCGTACAAGGAAGGCCACTTGACGCGTGACGATGAGAACAGAAGATCCAGATCGAGATGTTGGCACCAAAAATGGAACGATGAGCTGGCCACAACAATTCGTACGTCGTTATCAGGCGTCACGCCATTCTTCAACAGAGGTAGGAGTGACATGGTTAGGACTTGGTGGCCCACGCAGTTTGTCGCGAATACACGCTCGATATTCTGAGGCGAACGCTTGTATTCGTTTTGAACACTGATGGCTTCATTTGAGGGAGGTAGGTTAATATGTAATGATTCAGTTGAAATGGAGAGAGGGAGAGAGAGCTTACCTGCATTGCAAACCAGTATATGAACCCGGTCTGTGACTTGTTTTATCTTCTCAGCTGCGGCCTTGACATCCTGAATATTCCCCAGATCGCATTTGACAAACTCAGATCGAGCGTCATTATCCAGTGAGATGCCTTTCTGTTGTCTCCATTCCTCGCGAGCAGTGATGTATCTGTCTTCACTTCTGGCAATGATGATTACTTTCTCTATGCCATGCAAGAGAAGCTGGGTGGTGATCTCTGTATTTATTATTATCCTCTGCAGAATATTCAATTGGCTTGATATCAGGGGCTTTGCTTACCTTTGCCAATGCCTGCTTGACCACCCTGGGGAATTAGTTGCTGGGTCGAGATATAGTGAGAGAACACTCACTGTCACTACAGCCACCCGTCCATTCAACGCCGGTGTGTTTTCCAGGGAGAAGTTCCGATATGTAAAGATTCCTGTCATATTTGGGTTGGAGTGGGCAAAGTCGAAAGGATTCCCACAGGTTAAGTTGCATATATATATATCTGATCCGAATCGACGTCATCACCACCTAAACTGACCAAATTTAAAAAAGAACCATGTATATATTCTCTATGGTGTGCATTAAGTATTTATCACATTCAACGCCTTTGCGCTGCACGATCTAGGTATTTCAATCCCACAATGTGTTGAATCCCATCGGGGAGCCTTCATGCCAACGCAAGAGAAACGCCCATCCCAAAATATCAATGTTCAGGAATGTTGAACCCCTACCCAACAAGCAATGTTTCATGCGAATGCATTTCAGGAAAGAAACAAATGAAAACATTTTAGGCCTTGGTCGTCTTGGACTGGTGCAGCATCCAAGTAAGCAGGTCAACCTTGGTAACGATGGCCAACGGCTTCATCGCACCACTTGCGTCCTTCTCGGTCACAACCGCAGCGCTGTTCCACTCGAAGAAGCGGTTCAGGACACTGAGAGGGGTATCCATGGTGATCTCGATGAAGCCGCGACTCCGGGTCCGAGGCTTAAGGGAGTCCATGCCCTTGGAGAGATCACGAGGGTCAGTGACCACCTCGGAGATCTTTGAGAAGTCAAACATGACCTCGGAGACGGGGCTCTGGCCCGAGGCCCGGCCGTGCGTCAGTCGGCTGAGAACGTTGCCCAGCGTAACGAGACCGACGAGCTTGCGTCCAGAGGGGGCAAGAACGGGGAGCTGGTCAAAGCCTCGGTCGCGCATGACCTCAATGGCAGTCTCGCAAGGGGAGTTGGCTGTCACGGTGGTGATGGGCTTCAAGCGCAAGGCGCTGACCTTGGCATTGGCCAGAGGGTTAGACTCGGGCTCCTGGGTTTGAGTTGTCGATGCAACGGCAGGAAGCGAAGGGAGTAGATCGTTGGCTGCGAGCCAGTCGTCATCGGCGAACTTGAATCGGTTAGCTTGAATGCAAAATAAATCGGGGAAAGATTTGATCTCACCTTGGAGAGGTAACTCCTGATGCTATCAGGAAGAATCACAACGACGACGTCATCCTTGGAGAACTTTTTGGCCTCGTTGGCTTTGACCAGAGCCGCAATGGCACTGCCACTGCTACCGCCAACCAGCAGACCCTCCTCAGCGATCAGACGTCGGGAGTACTTGAAAGACTCCTTATCTTCAGTCTTGATCCATTGGGTCACGGCATCTTGGTCCAAAACTTTGGGAATGAAATCATATCCAATACCCTCGACCTTGTAAGGCTCATTGGCACGAGCTTCGTTGAGGGTGGGAGGCAGAGCGAGAATAGAACCAAAGGGATCAGCGGCGATCACGTTGATCTCGGGGTTGTGCTTCCGCAAGCCACGGGCAAGACCGGTGATCGTACCACCGGTTCCAGCACCAGCAACAATAGCACTGATCTTGCCATTGGTCTGGGTCCAGATCTCCTCGGCAGTGCCAAGCTCGTGTGCCAAGGGGTTGTTCGGGTTCTCGTACTGATCCAAGATGTGGGCGTTGGGCAATTCCTTCTCGAGACGTCTGGCGACACCGATATGCGATTCGGGCGAGTCAAAGGCGGCTTCGTTGGGGGTTCGGATGATAGTCGCATTCAAGGCACGCAGGACGGCGACTTTCTCGGCGGACATCTTCTCAGGGAGAGTGATGATGGTCTTATAGCCTGAGTAGAGAAGAATAGACAAGATTAGGACGGATCGGACAAGCAGAGCTTAGACAATAGAAACATACCCTTGACAGCACCAACCAGTGCCAGACCAATACCACTAATGAATCTCAATTAGCGCCCGCCCGCGCCTATGACCTCCGCTCGAAGTGAAAGAGAAGCCAAGGGGGAAAAAAAACCTACGTGTTGCCACTGGTGGGCTCAATGAGAGTATCACCAGGCTTGATACGACCAGATCGCTCAGCCTCTTCAATCATTCGCAGGGCAATGCGATCCTTGACACTGCCACCGGCATTGAAGTACTCCAACTTGGCGTAGACGGTAGCATCGATTCCCAAGGTGCGGGGCAGATGGTTTAATCGCACAAGGGGTGTGTTGCCGATCTGCTGGGTAATAGTGTCCAAAGTGACCGGCGGGATGCCGGGGGTAGTGGTAGAGGCCATGATGTGTGAGTTGTGACCGAGAGAAAGCTTGGAATGTAGTCAAGAAGAAGTTCGCAAGTTGAAGATTTCGCCATCGACTTTTGCGCCCCGCCCGATGATAGCCGGCTTTCTCTATGTGGGCCCATATATCTATGGACTCTGTTTACTTTTTTTTTGATTTTGTTATTTTATATGGAAATATGATAGTATATATGATCGTATATGTTATATAACTACCTGTAGTAAGTATAGTATTATATCTATAACCTTGGAAAGAGTGCAGTTCTAGTCTATACAGAAAGAACATGGAATGTAGTTATATCACATGTTAACTATACATGGAAAAGTCACTTTTTCTACTATATTCTATATTTGAGACTAACACTAATAAGGGGGAAATATATATGAAAAAGACACATATCTAAAAAAAGTACGGAGTATTTAAAAAGACATTGATAAAAAAAAAATCATAAAAAAAATACTACAGAGTGCCAAAACAGAGATTCTTGTCAATGTCACTACCGACATCTTCAACTTTCCTCGGACACTCCGGTCTCACTAAAAACTTATTAGTACAACATATTCCTGCTAACACTTAACACTAACTAACCTTAAGAGTTAGGCTGATCTCTACCCACTACTAATGGTTGATTGGCCAATAATCCGCTCAGTCTCGTCGATCAAGATCAAGCTCAACAAGCTCTCCCAGCCCGCATATTTTTGCCCAATTCCATATGCAAGTGCACCTGGGCATACTTGGGAGCAATTGCGCTTAAGTACTACATTTCGGCAAAGCCAAGGCCGTGGCTGTGCAGAAAATGGCCATTCCCCACACACTCGATTGGCGTTTCATCCCCTGAGAGAGGCTGAATGCAAATTTTACACAGAATATTCTAAACAAGAGGGCAGGTCTATTCTGGAAGTCGAGTATTGCAGTATCACTCGTCGTCGACTCCTAGTTTTTTTCTATAGTTTTTTTTCTCTCTCTCTCGTTTAGTCAAATCGCGAGACGGGATACGATCTTCACGGGAAAAGCATCATGGAACAACATGGCTGTGCCAAGACCTCCTAGCTATCCATATTGAAACACTCGAGGGCTGATTGGCTCTGTCAACTGCCAGCGCATCCTGTTGTTTTTATTTGCCTCCTTTATAACTCCGTATTGTGAATTGCAGTCCAGACGCTGTATAGTCTTTGCAGTCCCCAGCCCTTTTTTTTTAGCTTTTTTGGCTTTTTTTTCTTCTTCTTCTTCTTCTTCTTGTCTATGTGTGTTTTCTTCTAGCATTTATCGAGATCCATCCATCCCTAATTTGGTTTTGTCTCACGGTCTGGTACCTTGTGTACTTCATCCAACCACCCCCACCAAGCTCTCCAATCTATACGGAGTACTTATCGGTTAAAAATGGGCTCAATCAAGTCAACAAATTCACAGAATGCCGACCTCCGTCTCCGTGGGAACGGTGACCAGCCGAAGACGGTCCAAGAAAAGCGCTCGCAGAACTCGATATTGCCCACCAACTCCACAACTTCCAAGCGAGCATGGGCCTTATTTCGCGTGGACACAGCTGGAGAGAGCGGTCGAACTGGCATTCACCCATGGCACCTCCTCAAGGTATGCTTTAGGAGTGTCTGCACGCTTTCGATGGTCGTGAATATCCTCTGGCCATTTGTTCCCGCCGCAATTGTCATTCACTTTGCGCGACCCGATCTTCACGTCTGGATCTTCAGTCTCAATTACATCGCCATGGTGCCCTCGGCAAACCTGCTCGGCTTTGCCGGTGGAGAGCTAGCCAAAAAGCTACCAAAGATGATAGGCATCATCGTGGAAACAACTTTGGGCGCTGTGGTCGAACTCGTGCTGTTTATGGTTTTGTTGTATAAGCATGGCCGGACCGAAAACTCGGATCTGATTCCTGTCATCCAGGCCGCTATTCTCGGTTCCATCATGGCAAATCTCCTACTTTGCTTGGGCATGTGTTTCTTTGTGGGCGGTATCAAGCGTCATGAGCAGACCTTCCACGAAGCCATCAGTGAAGTTGGTACTGGGTTGCTCCTTGTCGCGGGTTTCGGTCTGTTGATCCCAAGTGCGTTCTATTCCGCGCTGCGTGGAAGCGTCAATGCACATTTTACTCTGGTGCAGTTGAACGAATATGCCTTGACGATTAGCCGTGCCACTTCGGTGATCCTTCTCGTAGCATTCTTGATGTGAGTGGCCTAGGCTCTTGCCCCATAGTTAAACCACTAACTCTCTGCGATAGATATCTGTTCTTCAACCTGCGCAGCCACAACTCCATTTTCGATGATATCCTAGAGAAAGACGAACACCACGACGAAGACCGACATGAAGAAGCTGCGAGAGCAAAGCTCACAATGATAGAATGCTTTGTTGTCATCGCCATTTCCCTGGCCTGCGTCTGCATGTCCGCCGTCTTCCTAGTCCAAGAAATCGAGCACATCGTGGAGCGCGGCGTCTCGGACAATTTCCTCGGTTTGATTCTCGTCCCTCTGGTGGAAAAGGCCGCCGAGCACCTCACGGCCATCGACGAAGCCTGGGACAACCAGATCAACTTTGCACTTTTCCACTGCCTGGCCCCTTCGATCCAAACAGCACTGCTGAACGCACCGCTCACTGTCATTGTTGGTTGGGGTATGGGCAAAAATATGAGCTTGAACTTCGAGATCTTCATGGTTGTCCTCCTTGTACTCTCAATTCTGGTTGTTGGGAATTTCTTGCGTGATGGCAAGTCCAATTACCTTGAAGGTGCTCTTTGTGTGCTGGTTTACTTCATCATCGCGGTTTGCACTTGGTACTATCCCCCAGTGCACATGGCCTCGTCGAACCAGTCTTGAACGTCGCGTTGTTTTTAAGCGTGTTTGATTCGCGAATATATTGCATACTGTATATCACTCATGGTTGGTGTTTTGAGGAGTTTGATGGAGGGTGGAGTAAAGCTCCATAGATGGTCAGAGTAAATAACCGTCTGAAGTTCAGACAGCACTAGCTAGTCAGATAAGGCCACATAATGTAATATGACCTCATATGAGACAAAATACAGTATGATCCGACTGGGTGTTATTCCAGAGTAGTCTGAGGGCGTAAGGCTTCTTTCATCAACATCTTCGCATCAACACGCAGCTCAAAGTCGGCCAGGAAACAAAAGCTGATCTCGAGTTTGGACAATTCCTGCTCACTGACTCCACCAACCTTCGCAACCCGGCTATGCGGATAGCTCAAGTCCTCTAGAGCCTTCGAAGCAACCCAAACACCAGCAAGCACAAGCCTGTGCATATTCTTCGGCAAAACTCTTAACACATTCTCGACCAGCGTCATCTTAGATATATACACGCTAGCGGCGAGATAGACCGCCGTAGACATAGGACAGTACCTATGCAAACGAAGCAGATACTCCTTCAACGGAATCGGCGGCACCTTCTTCGACAAAAACTTCTTCGCCAAGATAGCCATCTGAATCGCCTCTTCCGTCGCCCTCACAGGGTCGACAGGATCATCCGAGTCCTTAACATGCAACCCGACAGTTTTCACTTCCAATTCATCCTCGGCAGGGGTATCATAACCCAGAGGCGTGGAGCTGTGCGCATGCAGCTCATCGGTTCCGACAGGTCTCTGAGCAAAGTAAGCGCCTAGCCGCTCAATATTCAAACAAAGCAAGTGTAATGCAGCCTCGGGCGAAATATCAAACACGGCGGCGGGGGTCTGCGACGAATCAGGATCGTTGTCGGGCTGGTGACGCCCATTATTATCCAGCGGGGAGCCGAGTTTCAGCATGGTTGGCGCGGGGTTTGCGTTTTGGTTGGAATCTGTGTCTTGGGACACGGACATGGTTGTGGTTTGTGTTACGGCGGTGGCCATGGTGTGCGCGTGTGGGATTGTTTTTTCACTGCCACGCGCAGGCGCGGGCTTGGTAGGGAGTTGCGAGTAGAGCGCACCTGGACCTTGGGGTGGATGGTGGCTCCCCGGCTGGGTATCTCATTTTCCAACGAGTGGTTTCTGGCCTCTGTTGGGACTTGGGCTCACTTTGTGGCGCGGATCTCGGGCTCGGTCACGGGGGAGGTGGAGGGGGAGGTGGAGGGGGAGTTGAGGCGATATGACCGATGGGGTTTCCTTTTTGTAGAGTTGGATGTTGTATAGCGGGGTGAGGTGGTGAGAGTGGTAAGTTGTTTGGAGTTCTATATGGAGTGAGAGTCTGACCATTAATTTCCCAAATATATAAATAGACTCACCATGAACCCGATAGATCAATGAAAATTGAATCGAAGATTGAATTGAATCAAATCAACAAACTACCCAAGTCAAGAAATAAGGAGAATAGCGAGAAGGTAAAAGGGGAGATAAGAAAGTGGCCACATGTGACTTTAACCTTCAAATGTTGGGATCTATATATACAAAGAGAAACACTTGAAATCATCACATTTCTCCCAAAATCACCCACAAAACAAAACAAAACTCCTATCCATATATCCCTATATCCATATATCCAACCTGACTCCATACAAAAGAAAAGGCACAAAAACTCCAAATCCCGGCACAACACACATACCAAACCTAGCAGGCTCTCGATGACGGTACGAGTCGTATGCGCGGTTGTCTGTCCGATTAGAGACGCGACAACCTCGGTACAGCTGCGCCAACAAACATGTCACGTCTCAGGAACACCAAGAAAATTCATCGAACCGAACATGTTTATTAGTCCGGCTGCAACGCGGTTGCCGCGTCTCTAATCGGACAGACAACCGCGCATACGACTCGTACCGTCATCGAGAGCCTGCTAGGATTGGTTGTGTGGTTCTCGACTTTTATGCTGGGATTAGGAGGCAAAGAAAATCAAATGCTCAGTGCGGCTTAAACCCGTAGTCTGCTGGAAATTGGAAGGAAAGACACCCTCAACAACCAGGGGAGCGGTTCTATCCACGAATGTCTGCGAATGCCTCGACATGCTGGGTCACCGGTGAAGCCTAACGCGGTCAGAGCAACCAAGATGCTCGGTTCTAGAACCAGAGGCATGGCCCTCGTCTGCGTTGTCCAAGGACATGCTGACCCGAGCCCGACATTTCATGCAATCCATGGTGAATGGCCTTCGGTTCTCTCGTTTCGTACCGAATATCAGCCGGGCATGGGTCCCAGGTATTCCGGGATCGGGGCCCTCGCGAGGGACCCTGTGCCGGATATCTGAATTCATAGTCATGGCCTCGCGAGAAACCCTGCGAAGGGTATCTAACTTCATACTCGTAGCCCGAGTCATCGAACCGAACTTTTTTCTGTGTTCTGGTGTATCGAGGTTGCCGTGTTTCAAGCTTGACAGGCAGCCGCACATTCGAATGATATCTCCTTCTAGCAAAATTAGAGGCCATTTCATAGTCCGGGGGATCGACCACAACGAGTTTGGGGGGCGGTTCATGGGTTGGTGGTGCATACCGGGAACTGAAGTCGCGAACAAGTTCTGACCTGTAAACCGAATAGGAAGGCCGGGACCTCATATCTGTCGAGTGTAGGTATGTGTGGTGCCGTGTTCTCTGTTTCAGATTAATTCCTTGTTCTCGATACTCGATGGAATCCGAGGATAACTCGAGGGCAATGGAGTGATAATAAATTATCCTTGAACAATGCATCTCGAAACAAAGATACCTTTGAACAAGAGAGTTGTTGAAGGAACATAGACAAATAAATAAAGAATGGGACTCGACAAACCTCGTTGATTACAGCGGCACGGGCAAATTGCCGGGCACAGTATGCGTAAGAAGACATGTGGACAATGGCAAAGCAGGTGATCCCTTTCAAAGAGCAAAGACAGAGAAGTATTGGTATATTTGGCTCGAAACAAAGAAGATTTGACAAAGCAAGATCGCTTGGTATGGATTGAAAACAAAGAGCTTTATGGCAAGATATCAACTTGATTTTATATTTGAACCATTCGACAATGAACAGGGATTTGAAGGCAACATTTCGAAGAGAGGAGACCTATAATGAAGTTATTAATTGTTGGTATTCAATATTTTCTCTCTCTCTCTCAAAAAAGAAATGGCTGATACAAGCCTGAGGTCACCAGGGCGCAGTTCAACGAGTCAGCGGCTTTGAAGACCAGTTGCCTGGTGACAAAAATCCGTTGAAATCTGACAAAATCCCATGTTCAACTTCTTCCCTCACACCAGGAATGCGATGTTGGAGTCTCATCCCCCGAAAAGAGGTCATATCAAGAAGTGATATAGTGTGATTAGCAGGGTGCTCCCAAGTGAGGCGCGACTTGAAGAGCACGTGGAGCGTCAAGATACGTAGCACCTGTTATTGTCCACAACACAACCAACAGTGACTTTTCGGAGAATAGTGTCGAATGCCCTATACAATGACTGGCATCACTGCCTAAAATATTTCACTGCGCAACATTATTCAGGAGTCTTAAGTCATCCAGGTGAAGGAATCCTTCAGCCACACACCCGCCAAGCGTCAAATCAGAGGTCAAGCCACTTTGGCGCTAAAACAACCAACGGCGATTAAGAGCCAACCATTGACATCTTCGACTTCGAGAGACAATATTTCATACATGAACGCGCAAATCCATAGAATAGAACCGTGAAAAAAAACAAAAACAGAAAGGGCTTGGGCAGCAATGCTTCGCCACGATTCCTATGTCCACCTCTCAATTAATCTATCCTGATTGCTATCACGCTGGTGGAGAACATCCAAATTGAGCTTCTGGACTCCATTTTGAAGACTCGTGAGTTCTTTCTCGAGGCTCGAGAGCGCTAACTCCTCCAAAGGATCGCGCAGTGATGTTTCATAGTGAGAGTTGGCATGCAATGAGCAACGAAGAAGCTGGGATGCATTATCCAACGGTGCCAAATAAGTCACCAGGGGAGCATCCACCGCTATATTCAGGGTGTGAAGTGTTTCGGCAATGTGATATCGCTTCTCATGGAGGTCATCAACCCCCCCATTCTCGCACGGGTGGAGTATTGATTCTGGTGGTACACCAACACGCCTCAAAAGTCTTTCGAGTGATGGTTGGGCAACTACAGGCGCAGTGGGCGTGCGGGTGGCAAGAAGGAGGCCTGGTTGTAACGATCGGCGTCGCAGGGACTCTCGTCGGGATGATGGCTGTGTGACGAGTTCGCTGCCTGCTTCGGATTGATATAACGCGGCTAGCTGTTCCAACAGTTCCGAGGACGACTCCCGGACCCCGAGTTGGTTTGTGAGATCTTGCTTTGACAAAGTCATCTCGATCAACATGTCGAGTGCCTAGAGTATGAATTAGTCCATTGCTGATGAATGGAACTGCCGAGGTAGAGCCTCATACCTGTTCTAGTTTCTCCTGCGACGCCACTCGCAGCTGATCATGCTCGTTCTGGAGTGCGCGGAGGATAGGCTCATGGAACTGCTGCCTGGTCGACATTTCTGCCAAGATTTCGATCTCTGGATACAGAGATTCTAGTTCTTCCTCGAGGGCAGTGCTCGTTGCCCCATCCATAGCGTCGGCGTTTGAGCCGCCTGCATGAATTGTTTCCAGATATAGTCGATCGAGACGGTAGTGTATTTCCTCCGCCACGTAATCGGACAGTATCGTACTGAGATGGTTCGTGCGCTTGACCGTAGATGCATCATTCCCACGATACTTGATACTGGACATGAGGGTTTCCAGACTCGCGAGCGCCTTGTCGTCCTGCTTTAACCGGGTAGACAGAGAAGCGAGGATTCTCTTGCTTTCCACGCCCGACTTGTCCGTCGCGGTTCTAAAATCGGCCTCCAACTCATCGGCAAGCTCCATTGCCTACATGGAACCAAGATCAGCAACACGCGACGGTTTGTTGTGGCGGGCATGCCCCTACCGCCATTGTAGTATTTTGCCTCCCCGCTTCATGTTTCTTTTGCAGCCGAGCGATATCCCGGCTCCGCTGCTGCTCCACATTGTTTTCCAGACCCAATTGCTTATTTAGGCTTGCACATTGGAACTTCAAAGTCTCGGTCTGTTTCTGAATTGTTGCCGTTGAGGCCTCGAGGGACTCGATCGCGTTGCGGAGTTCGTCTTCGAGGATAGGTCGTGTTGCGCCGAGGTCTGGGTTACTGAGAATAGGCTGAAGAGCGCCGGAGTTTTCGAGCTTGAGATATCTGTCTCCAGTTAATTCTGTCTTATACTTGTACAAATGGGACGTACAACGCGAGCTCATCTTTTGATAGCAGGGTGTCAGGGCGGAGATGCTTGGACGCCCATTGCGCAATGCTGTCATCCTCAAATGCCGACCCAATCACCTCTTGCTTGACTGGGATATCTCGATCCTTGAGAATTGATATGAACTTGTCGGTCAACGTGTCTTCCATTGTTGTTTTGAGGGGTTGTGATGCGGAGACCTGATAAACAAGGAGCTCCAAGAGTGGAGCTCCGACTTCTCTCTTGAGTCCTTTGTTGATCGCAACACTCTCCTAGGTATATTTCTGGCTTTTATTTAGGGAAGAGACATAACGATTGTATGTGATGTTTGTTTATATATATCTATATTACTCTTGAACATAATTCTTCTATATTATGATCAACTTTCAGGAGAAGCTATAAAAAGATAGATATATTGCGCAAGTATATGGATCCCGAGGTCTTTAGTCGAGTCCATAAGGACATATGCCGATTAAAGAGATAAAAAGATTGACATATCTTTGAAAGAACCTCTTATTGTTCCTTTGGGGCTATTATATATATCTGTTTCAGCCCTTGTTTGCCCATGGACAAAGCACTTTTCATTCCAGAAGCCAGCAAAGATTGAATACTCGAGTATGAAAGGTTCATCCCCCCAGGGTTTTCAATACATCGCCATCGACTCGAGCTATCTAACCAAATATTTCTATTCGGACGCCTTAACACTGAAATAAGTAAGAATCTCCTACACTAGCCATCACTATGGACGCAACAACTATGCAGGCCTCGCGAGAATTTTTCGCCGACTCGCGAAATGATTTCGTCGTATATATCCAGGAACTGTCTTTCGGGGAGACCTCAGGTCAGGACATCGCTACAATCCAGACCGAGCTTCGTCGTATAGCCCACACACTCTCTGGATGGACGGGGCTACTAGATGATCCCAACGAGCTGACTTGCAGCTGTTTTTCGGACCGGTGCTACAACCTCTCGGATGTTATTGTAGAAGTCGCTGAGCTGGTCACTATCAAGGACGGGCAGCTCCCTCTCACAGTCTTGAAGATGTTCAATATGCTGGCTATGCAGGTAGGACGACTCACTCTTGACGGCCATCGCAAAGAGGACGAGTATGCGCGGGGTTTTGATCGCATGGCCAAGGATGAAGATCGGAGATGGCAGATTGGCTCCCAGGGACCGGATGACGGTAGAGCTGCACTTCTTTTTGGCCTGTGGACTCGTATGAATCGCATCTCAGAGCCTGGCCCCAATTGTTCGAATGGCTGCGTGTGAATGCCGGTAATCCTCGGTTTGGTTTCTAACTTCTTTATAGGTGATATAACTGCAGAATATAAAAGTAAGAAAAGAGTTGTTGACCCGAGGCTGTTAAGTGTAAAGTTGGAGAGAGACTCTAATGTTTTGAAAGAACCAACAATGGCGTTATATGTATACAACACATATGTCGACAACCTACATCGTATCGTATATGAAGATCGGCAGATCAACCGAGAAGAGAGACCGAGAGACAAAATGCGGCTGCCTGTGGCTGAGTAATCAGGCCAAAAAAAAAAGGAGCAAACACGTTAGAATAGAAGAAATAGAAAAAGAAATACAATATATTAAACTGTTTCAACTTCATCGGGTACAGAGTATACAGAATATACCAGGCACAGTATAAGTGTACAGTACCTACGGAGTACGTGTCTCTCGATTAGCGTCTCCGCAAATCCGAGTCCGCCTTTTTTGACCTTCCAACTCTCTTGACCTCTTGAACAATCTGTTTACCATTTACAATTTACCTCTGACCCTATTTTACACCTTCCGAGCTGCGCTTCTTGAAAAGAAAAGCCCAACACAGTGGATGCGCCGGCAACGGAACCGCGATGTTCTTTTAGACTACCGTCTTAAAACAGTCCAGTCCTCGAATCGAGTCTCCTTTCCAGCCTCCGAGTGGCATTCGATACATATTCAACAGTAGACAACCCCAAAATGTCTGACAACCCCTCTCCAGAATCCTGGGGCCCCAGCCCTGGCCAGACCTCCGGTTCCACCTCCGCCTCGAATGGCAACGGAACAGCAACTCCTCCAAACGATGTGGAGATGAAGAGCTTGCGCCTTGATCCCCCCAAAGGCTCAATTCCCTTGGGGGAGGATATTATGCAGTTGGCTCGGATGGGGGAGATTGGCACTATGCAGAAACTCTTTACGGCCAAAAAGTTCACTGCAAACCACCGCGACGAGGAGGGGATTACACCGCTGCATGTTCGTTACAACCCAGCACAATGTACAACGGGGATCTGTTTACTGACCGCATTCTATCTTTCTAGTGGGCGGCAATCAACAATCAATATGCGATGTGTAGATTCCTGATCGACTCCGGAGCCGATGTCAACGCCAAAGGAGGAGAATCGGTGGCAACACCAGCCATGTGGGCTGCCCAACGGTGTCATTATTATATTGTGAACCTACTGCTCCAGAATGGAGGGGATCCTCTACTGACGGACGTCCAAGGATACAACATCCTACACCTCGCGACCATCGATGGCAACGCTTTCCTAGTCGTGCTGCTTCTACACCAGGAGATCCCCGTGGACGTTGTTGACCAACAAGGGCATACTGGACTGATGTGGGCTGCATACAAGGGGTATCCTGCATGTGTGGATTTGTTCCTCCGATGGGGCGCCAATGCAAACGCCGTGGACGAAGGTGGCTTGACGCCGCTTCACTGGGCGCTGGTCAAGGGATCGATGCCCTGTGTCCTGAAGTTGCTTGAATACGGCACCGACCGCTTCGCAAAAACCCGCGATGGAAAATCACCTGCGACTGTGGCGCAGGAGATGAACACCTTGCGCGTTTGGTACCGCTCGCTCAACGAGCGCGGCTTTGAATCTGATGGCACCCAAAAAGTGGTGCCTTTGGGCCTTTCAAGCTTCGTACGCAACAAGAGCATCATGGCCAAGTTCTTCTTCCTCTGGCCTTTCTTGATTATTCTGATTGCCATCTGGATGCTCAGTAACCTGGCGATTTTCGTTGCTGTGCCCCTCGTGTTAGTGACAGTCTTCGGGATGCAGTATGTTGCACAGCAATTTGCGAACAAGGGGCCTATGGAATATCGCATTCTGCAGAAAACACCGTATCTAGCTGGTGTCTTTGCAGGCACGTTGTTCTGGGTTGGCTTCCGCTATGCTTTCAAGGTGCTGCCAGCAACTTATTCGTCGTCGCCGATTCTGAACATCTTGTTCGCGGTCTTCTTCTGCTTGACTGCTTATTTCTACATCTTTTCCATGGTCCAGGACCCCGGTTATGTTCCGAAAGTGAGCAGCAGAAATCAGCAGAGAGAGATTGTGAAGGAACTGTTCGACCAGTGGAAGTTCGACGAAGAGAATTTCTGCATCCCCTGTATGACAAGAAAGCCACTCCGGAGCAGGCACTGTCGTCGTTGTGGGCGCTGCGTTGCGAAGCACGATCAGTATGTGTCTTTGATAAATTCAATATTTCTCTTGATCTGACCACTAATGCTCGAATAGCCATTGCCCGTGGATTGATAACTGTGTTGGATCGAACAATCTCCGCCATTTTGTTCTTTATATAGTCTCCCTCGAAGTTGGCATCATTCTGTTTGTGCAGCTGACTATTGCCTGTGAGTACTAGTGGTGAGGGAAAATATTTCCTAGGATCAGCCAACTAACATGACGCAGATATCAATTCTCTACCCGCTCCCACCAATGCTACCTGCAATGTTATCAACGACACATTGTGTGACTATGCCTCTCGCGATCCCTTCACCCTGATTCTTAATGTGTGGATCACCCTCCAGCTGGTCTGGGTCACGATGCTGTGCGCCGTCCAGCTCGTCCAGATCTCTCGAAACCAGACAACCTACGAGAACATGCGAGGCCACCACATTGACCGGTCCTACCCAAGCTCCCAAGCCTTTGCATCGGCCATGACCGCCGGAACCACCTCAATGGAAGCTGCGGGTCTTTCGGCTTCTGGACAAGGACCCAACCCGGCCCTCCGCGGCCCTCCCCCACACCGACGGAAAAACGGCTGCATCCAACAATGGTCATCTCTTCTCGGAATCGACGCTTTTTGGACAACCGCCAAGGACGGTCTCCGCGATGGACCCCAGGCGGCTCGCCCCCGCAACCCCTTCTCCCGCGGTGTCGTCACCAACTGCCGCGACTTTTGGTGTGACCCGGCTCCGCTCTTCGGCAAGCGCCAGACTGGGGCGGCGATGCTCGGCGGCGAGGTGATCAACTATCACGATATGTACGAAACCCCAATGCGCATGCACACTGGCAACCGGTCCGGCGAGGGACCAGGCTACCGCAGCGTTGCTGGCGAGGACCCCGAACGCATGGTATGAGCTGATCCGAGATCTGAGCGAGTTTGCATTTGTTTTCGATTCCAGATCCTGCATTGATATCCCTCTACTCCATGTTTTATTATGCAAATCAGCGCGGTGTTACATTATTGGGGCACGTGGCACGAGCAAATGTTTGCATTTTGCATTTAGACAGGATCATGTACAGTTGACGTCAGACATTAATGATTTATTTTACTATACTGTTATGGGAGATGACTTGGCTCCTGAGCAGCAACAGGAACAAGAAGTCCCTCTTGACTCTAGTGACTATCGGGTATATATATGACACCCACTTAACATCCAAGGTCCTCAAGCTCGAACCCCTCCCCGCAGTTTCACATTCGCATCAGATAAGATAGATAGTTTCCCTTGGCCCTGTAGTGACCCTGCAGCTAACCACCAACTCACCGCATAAAGGCCCGGCAACCGGGACCTTCTCTCGGCGTTTCTGGAAAGATACCTACCTGGGAAGGGCAGTCATATCCCGTCCGAGGGGGCCAATTGGTGCGCCCAACTGGGTCTAGGTGTAGGTACATATGTATCACGCTGCATACCATGACAGGTTTACGTTTTACATTACTCATTACACGGGAGTAAAACGTACCTGCATGTGAGCTCTTGGGGGTGCATATGCCAGCGCACACTAGGTGGCAAGGTACTTGTGTAGCTTGCGATCCTGGCACGGGGATAGCGGCAGTAGTGACTCCGCCAGATGTGCAACCTTGGCTGCAGGGCTGCAGCCTTTCAGGGACATGGAATGTTTGATGGCCGAGGGTCCAGTGTGGCCTGATGTTCTCGATTGTCCTGAACTTTCTAATAATGTAGCGGTCAACGATTACAATAGGTTGCTAACATTTCTTGGCTGATTACACAAGGTATTGTATACTGTGCTAGGGCTGTCACCTCCCTAAATCATATAGAATAGGCAATAGATACAATGTTATTACACGATATACAAAGTAGGGTCCATTCAACGGCTTTCAATAATGGAGCCCGAAACAAGTCCGAATTACAGAACCGCGATCTGAAACCTACCTCGGTACGGAGACGAACGACAGGACCACGGGGGAGATGATCAGATAGCAGTTTCCACTCTGGACACATCCGATATCGCCGAAGAAACAGCCGAAACTCAGTTGGAAATTGGGGAAGATCTAATCTCTCGGGTACCGGCCCAGCCTATGGACCCATGGAGACAACACGAGGCATGTGCATGGATGTTGCGGGTCTTTGGCAGAATACAGTATATGTATGTACGCTAACTTCTCCAAGGGAAAAGGAAGCAGGATCTACCTATGCTATAATTATATCTTATGTCCATCGTACGATGCATATGGAAGCGCGGTTTCCGAATGAAAAGAATATAAAGAATAAAATTACAGATTTAAGATTTGCAAATTTACAAATTTACAAAATACCAAGTCATAACAGTGCGTATGCAGGCTCCATCTCGCTAAAGACTCGACTAGGCAGGTGATGGAGCTCGAGGAAGCCACTTTTACTTAGTGCGGAATTGGGAACTTCTAAATTGTACATCGTACCTAGGTACATTGTACATATGAAGAGATGGGAAGTTACGGTCAAGCCCAATGCAATTTTTTAAAAAAAGAAATCTAGTAATATAAGTACCAAAAAAAAAGAAAGAAAAGGAAAAAGAGAAAACTGCCAAGTCCTCGATCAGATAAAAATTTCAGTTTATCTGATCCATGCAGGACCCCACTTGCTTTTATCTGATTTGATGTGATTATTCACCTTTTGACTTGGAATTCGTGTTTATTTTGTGTTTATAAATTAAATAAATAAATAAAATGTCAGAGAAGCAAATAGACACGAACCTATAACATGTATAAAATCAATACAGCATACTATTAGTTGTAGACATACCATCTAGGATTGGGATCGGCACCGATCAGCGTCAGCTTGACGAGTTTCGCGCGATTTCTTTTTGGATTGTTTTCCAAGGTTGTCCCGCACTTGCCAAGGAAACATTTCTTTTCCGATTAAAAGTTGTTTTTACCGTATAACATCCGATCGGACGGTGTACACCGATTCTACTCCACTTAACACGTTGGGGGACACGTTTCGGTACTTGTTACCTGCTTAGGATTATACAGGGATGATCCCAAGTGCCTGAAGATCTGGGAGGGCCGATCGGTTAGTATTGTGGATAGACTTGGAAGAAAAAAAAATTGAAGAAAAATAGAAACAAGCTCATCATTAACGCAAAGAAAGAAGAAAGAAAAAAAAAAAAAGAAAAATCTAAATACACAGGATGTCTAAATGTTTCACCCAGAACAGCGAAGGGAGGGGGAGGGGAATCATCGAGAGCTGTCTCGCCGGACATATTTTTAAAATCTCGGCCCACTTCCCAAAAGCAAACCCGAGACACGAACGACGATCATGTCACATTTTGTTTCACGCCTTTTTCACAGCATAGCGCGCACCCGGGTGTCCTGCACCAAGGGAGCACCAGCCAACTGATCCGCAAAGACGGAGCTAACAATCTCGCCGCCCCGCACAGCCAGCACCGACAGCAAAGAATCACTCAGACCGTGGGTCTTCTCGTTGCAACCCTGCAGCCAGATACCAGCCTGGGCACTGACCTTGGCACCGTCGAGCGAAACACGGTAATCACGGCCGGGGTTCCAGGCCGACGCGCCGGCGGGCCGCAAGCTGCGTACGTTCTCGAGGAGTTCCTCATGCGCGTCGCGGAGGTAGCCCGTCGCGACCATCAGCGCATCGACATCCAACACTTCCTTGCCCTCGCTTTCGTTCTTGACCGACTTGACGTGAATGCGCATGCGGTTTGATGCGTTGTGGTGCTCGATCCTGGCCACCTTGGTCTCGGCGAGGATGCGCTGCTGCCACTGTGTCTCGTCTGGGTTCTCCACCCGCTGCAGGTACATGTCGTTGTAGATGGACTCGATCAGCTCCAGGCGAACCACGCTGTAGTTGGTGGCTTTTTCGGTAGCGATGCGCTTCTTGCGCTCTTCGGCGCTCATCCCGTAGAATTTATCTACGCGCTCGGGGTTGAAGATTTCGTTCACACTAGAAACGAAAAAAGAAGAAGCAATTGGTTAGCTGGGTTACGGTTATTTGGAGCTGTGTATTTTGGGAAACGTACAAGGGAGAGTCATCACTGGGACGCAGAGCGGTATCACGGAGGATGAGGGTGGTGCGCGAGTTGGGGTAGCGGCGGTGCAAATCGTGGTAGATCTCTGCGGCACTTTGGCCACTGCCAACGACGGCAATGTTATAAGGGGCCATATCATCATTCAGCATCTGAGGCAGGTGAGTACAGTACTTGGAGGAGTGCATGATGCGGGGATCCTGGGGGAAACCAGGAGGCATCTTAGCCTTGCCACCGAGGGCAATGACAACCTTGCGGGAGTTTCGGGAGGAGATCTCGCCAGTGCCGGTGTTGCGCGAGACGACGGTAAAGAAGTCGACAATACCACGGGCATTGGTGGGACCGGGGACGACCTCGACGACCTCCTCGCCGTAGTTAACGACATTGTCAAAGCGCAGGGCACACCAGCGCATGTAGTCCTCGAACTCCATACGAGCAGGCAGGAAAGTGCCCAAGTTGGTGAAGTGGATGAGACGCTTCTTGTGGTGCAGGTAGTTGAGGAAAGTGAAGCTGCTGCGGGGATCGCGCATAGTAGCGAGATCCTTCATGAAGGAGATCTGCATGCGCGAGCCGGGGACCAGCATACCGGAGTGCCAGGCGAACTGGTTCTGCTTCTCCAGGAAGCAAACCTTGGGCTTGAAGTTGGGGTCCTTCGAGGCACCGAGGGTGGGGTCCATGGCGTCGTTCAAGGCAATGGCGACAGCGAGCGAAGCTGGGCCGAATCCAACACAGAGCAGATCATGCATCTCATCAGCGCCAGTTGGTCGCAACAGCGACCGAGCTGACTGAGGTTGGGTGCGAGGCACCATGTCGTTGAGGAAGGAGAGCTCCGACTTGCGGGTAACAGGCTCCATGGCGACTCAAGAATTTAAGGTGAAAGGTAAAAGGTTAAAAATGTATGTATATACAACCGAAAAGGGAAATCCAAGAGCTTCAGGGGGGAGCTTCCAAGGGTTTCAAATCCTTTCCAAGAAAAAAAAAAAACAGCAAGGAAAAAAGGCTTTATATGGTTATCCGGAGAAGAATCTCAGCGGATCAGATAACTTGACCAAGTGGATCCCCCTGAAGGCCTCTTGAAGCCCTCGCTTGAGCTTTTTGCCAAGTTTCCGTATTTTCCCTGGTTCGGGCGTTTTTTTTTCAATTTTATCAATCAGTGAAATCCCGAGGTCTCCACTGGATTCAGAGATGGAGTGTTTTTTTTTTTTTTAATCTAAGACGGTATGTTGTACTTATAAGTATTCTTCTATAGTACCGTATTAGATACTCCACTATATGCAGGAAGATAAAAGAAGAAGAAGAAAAGGTTCGATGCTTCATGCACACCAACTCGATCAACCAGAGTACAGCCATTTATAATTCCTCAAAACCCACGAAAGGTCTTACGGCCGATGTCGGGAATAATTGGAGATCGGACGTCCAGGAAGTGTTATTATACGTATTAACCATGGTATATTAACCTGTGTATGCACGTTGTATGCACGTTGTTACTCCTCTTGGCAACGCATGGGACTCGTTTACAGTGGGGGGGGGCCTGCAGGAAAATTCCTCCGGACTATAGCCAGTGGTTATTTTATTTTGCTTTTTTTTACGCTTGGGCGTTTGAAGTGGGGGAGGTGACAATGATATTCTATGAGGCTATTATTGCTATTACTGTGTACAACATACATATCCATGGATGTATGCATATTATCTGCAACGTTGTAATTCTGTTTTCATCTAACGGTACTATGTATATTATTTATATTACTTGAATGACCAAGTTACTAGTAGGATCTCTACGTCATTCATAATCGGACACTAACAGATCCACTGCTGTTTCAGCGGCTGATTCAGCCGAGTAGTGGGGGAATATGGTCTGATCTTGATGCGTTGTACAAAGTAAAATATATAATAAATATAGATCTAGGAAGGTACTGGCTGGTTAGTGTTATATCTAAATTGATCGTAGTAGAGTAACAGAGCAATAGAATAATAGAGTAATAAGTAATAGGGTACATACATAGTACTATGTACATATGTAGTAATAATAATAATACTCCAAATACACATTATTTCAAATAATACAGAGCCCTTCTTCTCGCCCACTTCTCTTTTCCGCGCTTGGCTCGCTGGAAGATCGTACAAATCCCATCTGTATGGATGTGCCCCTCGATTTGCTTTTTTTTTAAAAAACGGACAAGCCCCTTTCAAAAATTTCTTGTATGTGGGACGCTTTTTTTTGGCGCGCTTGCCTGCATACGATCTTCTCTAGCCACTCACATTGCACCTAATTAGATCGACTAAGCAGACTACTACCTACCTAGGTATATACTTTACCTTGAATATGTATGAGTGAGAGAGAGGAAAAAAAAAAACCACACAGGTCATGGACCGATTCACTCAATTCCCCGCCGTCAATGACGATGGTGATGATGTTCACATCGTACCCTGGCAGGTGGATGCCCAACTCCCATCGGAGATATTTGCTTTGTCATGGGCAGTCTTGCTACGCGCATTCACAACAGATGAGAACCCGGTCTTTCTATTAAATGGTGTGCCAGTCAAGGCAGATCTATCCGCCCAAACGGTTCAGCCAGCAGATCTGACTGCCGTATCAGATTTCTCAGTCAAACACACAGCCATAGTGTTGGGAGACCCTCTGTTCAGTGATGATGGACATCCCCCGGTGTTGCGGTGGACCCTGGACCCCGCGACTCAGTTGGGAGCCTTGCGTGCGACCGGAGGCATGAACGCTGCTTTCCTATACCAGTTGGGCAACCAGCTGAAGCAGATCGTGCAAGAGCAGGCTGCTCAGAAGGGTATGCAGGTGACAATGTCTGCCACTGAGGTTCCTGATCTAGCCATTTCAAATGCCTCGCCTTCAACATTGCCAGGGCCTCAACTTCTACACGAGCTTGCGCTGCGCGAGCTCAACAATTCAAACCATGCCATTGAATTCCTTACCGCGGATGGAAATGTTTGTTGCTTGTCGTACCATGACTTGGACCGGCTTTCCTCGGAGCTGGCGAGTAAAATAGCTCGTGCTTCGACGACCCCACAGGGCCTACAGAGGGTTGTGCCAGTACTTCTGCCCCAGTCTGTGGAATTGTACATTGCATGGCTGGCCATTCTCAAGGCTGGCGCAGCTTTCTGCCCCTTGAACACGGATGCACCAACTGATCGCATCGAGTTTATCCTGCAAGATGTGGCTGCATCTGTGGTGGTCACAAATGATGCTCTTGTAACAAGGTTACCGCTCAAAAAGCATATTTCTATTCTCACCGTGGGCGATCTTCAAACCAACGCCGATATCACAGAACCATGCTCAGAAAACAGCACTTGCACTGATCTGGCATATGTCATGTACACATCTGGCTCTACGGGCCGCCCCAAAGGCGTCGGGGTGTCCCATCTTGCTGCCACCCAGTCACTTCTTGCTCATGATGATTTGATACCCCCTTTCAAGCGCTTTTTACAATTTGCATCTCCCACCTTTGATGTTTCCGTGTTTGAGGTATTTTTCCCGATGATGCGGGGGTCAACCCTCATCGGCTCCGAGAGAGAAAATATGCTTCTTGATATTTCCCATGTAATGACTAGGATGAGAGTCGATGCCGCTGAGTTGACCCCAACGGTGGCAGGAGAGTTGCTGCGCACGCGAGCTGCAGCTCCATCTCTCCGGGTGCTCCTCACAATTGGTGAGATGCTCACCAGACATGTGGTAGACGAGTTTGGCCAATCTGAGGGCAGAGATGGCATTCTCCACGGAATGTACGGGCCTACCGAAGCAGCAATCCATTGTACCGCTGCCACCCATTTCCAGGCCAAGGATCGTGTCAATATGATTGGAAAGCCCTTTAAAACCGTTTCCGCATACATTATGTCACTCCCCTCCGACAACGAGCCATCCTCCAAGGAGCTTCATCCCCTTTCACTAGGCCAAATTGGAGAGCTTGTGGTGGGTGGTCCTCAATTGGCAGACGGGTATATTAACCGACCCGAAGAAAATGCCAAGGCTTTTATAGACAGTCCGGTGTATGGCCGACTCTATCGCACAGGAGACAAAGCTCGCATACTCCCAACCGGAGAGATCGAGTGTTTTGGCCGAATTTCCAGCGGCCAGGTGAAGCTGCGAGGCCAGCGGATAGAGCTTGGCGAGATCGAGCATGTTATCACCAGAGCCTCCGGTGTCCGCAGTGCTGTAACCATAGTCATCGACGGGAACTTGGTTGCATTTGTTCTGGTTACCGACAAAGGAACGACGGACAATAGTCTCCGAGACGTCTGTCGTCAGCTGTTGCCTCGGTTCATGATTCCTGGAGAATTCGTGCTCGTCGATCAATTCCCGCAGCTTCCCTCGGGCAAGATCGATCGTAAAACACTAGAAGCGGATTTCATTCGCCGCCGAAGCACCACTCAGGCTTTTGATGACCAACTCTGCCGAGACGAAAAAGAAGAGTTTATCGTTTCAAGTGTGGCTGATGTGCTGGGCCGACGACTCTCGCCAATAGAGAGCTTGGCAGCAGCAGGCCTTGATTCGCTAGCAGCAATCCGTCTCGCATCCCATCTTTTGGATGCAGGAATTCGCCTAGGTGTGGCTACCCTGCTGGAGGCCGACTCAGTGGATGGGATCTGGCAGCTTGCCACCAGCCTTGAAGCCGCGAACCCGACTGATGATACGCAAGCAGCCCTGCGAACTATTCTCGAGCTTGTTTCAGATGCAGGTGCAGCAAGGGTCGACTCGCTGGGTTTGAGCGAGCACGTTTCCGACATCGTACCGTGTAGCCATATCCAACAGGCTATGATCTTGGAGACTGTTCGAGACAACAAGGCATACTGCAACTGGATCGAGCTTGAATTCGAGCCCTCAGTCAGTTTAACTTCGCTGAGAAATGCATTTGGTCAACTGGTGGACCACAATGAGATCCTGCGGTCTGGATTTGTGGAAATCGGCCTCAAAGACCACTCATATAGTCGCTTCACCTGGGATAACCTTGACGAGCATATTTCCTTGCAACAGGAGCTTAACTACGATTTGGGCTTGAGTGTGGATCACGATGTCTTGAACCCCTTCCGAGTCCAGATTAAGCAAGGGAAGGATCATCTTCGTGTGCTGGTGCATATCCATCATGCACTCTACGATGGATGGTCTTGGCAACTCATGTTGAAAGATCTCAGAAGTATCTTGTCCGGAGAGGAGATCACTTCTAAACCCCCATATAATGTCGTCGCAAACTTCTTCATTGAGCATAAACTGGACAAATCGGCAACAGAGTCCTCAGCCTACTGGCGTGATCAACTACAGGGTCTTTGTCCTGCAACTTTCCCTACTTTCCATGGAAATGCAGATATCGTACATGCTACCGAAAAGGCTACTCGCGTGCTGGACATATCCGTTTCAAAACTCAACGAAGTTTCCCAGCGCCTTCGCGTGAGCCGGCAAACCATTTTCCAAGCCGCGTTTTGCTATATTCTCTCTTCCTATCTTGGAACCGGCGATTGTACATTTGGAACTGTCTTTTCAGGCCGGACTCTGCCATTAAAGGGCATCGAGAGTGTTCTCGGCCCTTGTATCAGAACTTTACCTACGCGAATGAACCTCGAGAAAATGCAAGACGTGACCGATCTCCTCTTGGCCATCCATAACATGAACCGCAAGTCGCTCGAGCATGGCAGTCTTCCTCTTCATGATATCAAGAAGGCTTCTGGTATCGACTTGGATCGCAGTCTATTTGACACGGCGCTCGTGTGGCAGGAAAGCATTTGGTCAGATTATGACCAGGGCTCGGTGTTCCGGGAAGTTGGAACGGGGGAGTTTTTAGAATTTGCGCTTTTGCTGGAGTTCGAGCCGCGAGAAGAAAACGTCTTTGCCCGGGCGACTTATCAAAAGTCGGTGCTACCATTCGAGCAAGCTATGATACTCCTTGAGCAGATCGATTCCGTGGCTTCGATCTTGATTGACAAGATTAAGCTTCCAATCCCGGAGATTCGATCGTATCTTCCCTCGTCAACGTTGTCTATTCAACATGCAGCATCGCTCGAGCAAGTCGATCTGCCAAGCTTGTCATCAAGCGTCGAGATTATTGCCTCTACAGACCCGGACCGGGTAGCGGTTGAGTTGATGCTCTGGAAGCCAGAAACTCCTGCTCCATTGATCGAAAGTATGACCTACGGTCAACTAAACTCCCGAGCTAATGGCTTTGCACACGTTTTGCTCCACATGGGAGTGAAGAAAACCGATCTAATAGCCATTCATCTGACAACGTCTCTTGACTTTTACGTTGCTGTGCTTGGAGTTGCCAAGGCCGGTGCTGGTCTCCTCCTACTTCCCCAGGCATCTTCGCAGATAATTCATTCTATTCTATCCACGGTGAAATCCAAGTTCTGCATCGTCGACCACTTGACGGAAAAGAATCATCGCTTGGATTTTTTGAAGTCCATTCAGCTGGTTCACCTCTCTTATTCGCTGGATGTTTATCATGAGTTCAATATCCCCTATACCAATGAAGGGTCTGATGTTGCTTATGCTGAATTGATGCTAATTGAAAATGACTTGACGGAAAACATCGTCATCTCACGCCAAAACCTGCAGAGCAATATCAATGCTCTTTCAGACTTGTATCCAACGCCAACCGGGTCGAAAATGCTATCATCTCCTCAAGGATCAGGTGGTAAGCTTTGCATGAAATCTTAATTTCTAGATTATCTTTCTAACAAAAACACAGCATCAATTTGCCAGACATTCTTCGCTTGGCACGCTGGCATGACATTGTGCTCAGCTACAGACTTAATCATGATGACTCGCCTCGAGCAAGCCTGTCAAGATATGAACATAACGCACCTTCACTTGCCTCCCATGCTGGCCTCCCGTATTGATCCACAAGCCGTCCCCAGTGTGCAATATCTCCTCTCTTCGGGCGAAGAAATGACCCCCAAGCTCCATCGCAATTGGGCCGGCAAAGGTCTTCATCAAGCATACAGCAATTATGCACTTGCTCACGCATGTACCCTATGTCCCAATATGCAAGCATCGACCTATGTTCGAAACATTGGTAGACCCCTGAAGAACACATCTGCGATGATTGTGGAAGATGGAGATTCACTCGGTCTTCTTCCACGCGGCGCTATTGGAGAGTTATGCTTTGGCGGAGATCAAATTGGGCGCTGTCTACCTGACTACGAGCCGTCAGTGACTGGACGATTCGCTGACCATCTTGACCTCGGTCGGATTTATAGAACGGGTGACTTTGGGAGGCTGCTTCCTGATGGCACACTCATTCTTTCCCGAAGTTCTGGCCTTGCACAGTCGTATGCTCCGTCTATTGATCTTGATGGAGTTGATCGTGCTCTTATGTCTTTGAAAATGACTCAAGAATCAGTGAGCATGATTTTGGATGAGCCAACACTGCGTCAGCAGCGATTGGCAGTATTTTGGGTTCCTTCAACGAAATGCTCAGATTCTGTTCAAATTGAGGAAGCTACAAATGATCTTTTCAAGGAGCTCACTAAGAAACTTCCTTCTTCTAGCCTTCCATCGCTTCTTGTTCTCGTGGACGCGATAAGTCTCACTATGTCCTATAAGACTGATCACTTTATGTTGAGGCAACGGCTGGAACAACTGACTACAAAGGAGCTTGCGATGTTTTCACCAAAGCTCAATGATACTGGTGACTGTTTCACCGAGCTTGAGAAGACCATCTCTGCCGCGCTATCGGCAGTTACTGGTACCGACCAAAGCAGCATTCGTAAGCACACGTCTTTCTACAGACTAGGTCTGGACTCTCTTTCTGCCATTTCCTTCTCGCGCAAGCTGCAGGAGTCTGGGTGTGGAAGGCTTTCTGTGTCCACAATTCTGCATTATAGCTCCATTGCCCAACTTGCAGCGGTGATTCTTGCTACGACCGACGAGCATCAGCCCGAACAGGCTGTGGCGCCCACGCCACCAATGGTGTTCGATGAAAATTTCACTCATCAAGTAGAAGATGAGTTCAAAGCTGCAGCCATGACTGTTCAGAACATTTACCCTTGCACTCCACTCCAGGAGGCTATGCTTGCAGCTGAGTCTGGTGGTCATACAGCTTATTTTAACCACCTCCTGCTTCTTGTGCACACCGATGCCGAGGACATGAGAGCAGCATGGGCTAAGATGATGCAAAGACAAGGCATTCTTAGAACTTGTTTCACGCAAACTAACGATAAGGGGTTCGCATATGCTCAAGTTGTACTGGATACATCGATCTTACCGTGGTCCCATATTAAAACACCCTCTTCTGAGATTGAGAATGTCATCAAGGAGAGCAAGTCCAAATTTGAGGGTCTTTCTCCTGTCAATGGCCAGTTGCCCTACTCGCTGACTTTGATAACCGATTCCACTGCGCACAAGACACATCTTCTACTGTCCATTCACCATGCATTGTATGACGGAGAAGGTATCGCCCGGTTATTGCACGAGCTCCAGCTGTTGCTTTCAAGTAAAGAATTGCCAGAAAATGCTCCATTCCACAACTTCATCAATTACATGACCTCTGTTGATTATGGTTCGTCGGACGAATACTGGGACCAGTACTTGTCCGGTGTTTCACCGACTCTCCTTCCTACACCCGAGCCCGCGGCCAATGCAGATGTGTCGACATCACAGCAGATCCATACATCCCTAAATGGCTCTTTCATATCGTTCAAACAACAATGCAAAGACCTCTCCGTAACCCCTTTGAACATCTTCCACGCTGCATGGTTCAGGCTCCTCTCTCTATACACCGATTCCTCCGACGTCTGTTTCGGTAATGTCTTCAGTTGCCGAACCGTTCCCTTGGATGACGCAGATCGGATAGTTGGGCCTTGCTTCAACACACTCCCAATTCGAATCAAGTCCTCCTCGACTGCAACAAATTTTGACATCATGAAATTGTCCCAAAAGAGCAATAACAACATTTTGCCTCACCAACTCAGCCCCCTGCGGCGGATTCAACGGCGTGTTCTTGGCGATGGCTCTCGCCTCTTCGACACGCTGGTCATTTTCCAGAACAGAAATATAGACCTTGATCCCAATGTCTGGGAACTTCTTCAGGACGAAGGAAACATGGGATTCCCTTTGATCTGTGAGATCGTCCCCGACGAGTCTGCCGACAACATCCAGATCTGCCTTCACTTCCAAGTATCGTATATCTCGCAAGCCGTGGCTGAGAACATCGCGCGGGACTTTGTGGCCCTTGTTGGACACATCACTCAATACCCATCTGCTCAGGCATCCGACAAGCGGCTATTGGGGGCAGACATTGGTCGAGTCTTTGAACAGAAGGTGTCTCAAACGCCAAACTCTGTTCAGTTCCTAACCAAATCTCGCCCAAAGCGCCCGTGGTCCTATCAAGAGGAGATTGTGCGCGACCTCATTTGCAAATTTTCTGATGTCGACTCGGATAATGTGTTCCAGGACACGACGATATTCCAACTTGGCCTGGATAGTATCAATGCTGTTCAGGTATCGGCGAAGTTGCGTGGATTAGGGTATAAGATCTCATCTGGTGATATTCTCGAGGTATGTCATATTCCTGGAGCTTGATTATTGATCATGAATTCTGTTCTTTGCTTACTGACTTGAATCAGGCCGCTTCTATTGATCAAATTGCTTCTCTTCTTACCTCCAACGCGAAGGTTGTTGAAGAAGTCGAGTTCGACTTTGGACTTTTCCAAAGCCATCATCTGCAATCTGTTTGCGAACAACTTGAGATTTCTTCGCAAATAGTGCAATCTTTGCGCCCTTGTACGCCAGTTCAAAATGGAATGCTGGCGATGTTTGCACATTCCCATGGTGAAGTCTACTTCAATCGAATGGCCTTGAGGTTTTCCGCACCTTTGGATAAGAAGATTTTGAAAGAAGCATGGTCTAAGGTCACGGCACAGCATGAGATGCTTCGAACAGGCTTTGTTCAATTGCGCGATCAGCAAAATCCTTTTGCTATGATAACTTACCATGAAATCAACAAATTACCATGGCGCGAGACCTCGATTTCCATGGCAGACACTCCCGGTGTTCAAGAAAAGCACGCTTTGGAAATTCTCCACCAGCCTCCATGGAGCATTGAAGTCGAGGCAGGTGACAACACCAGTATCATGCATTTCTGTGCATTGCACGCTATTTACGATGCTCAATCTCTGGCTACCATATTTACAGACGTCAGAGCAGCATATGAAGGCAAGGCTCTGGCTACGCCGGTGCCAGTCACCAAGACTCTCGGGCCTATCCTTCTTGAAAGCAAGAGCCAAAGCGAATCCGCACAATCCTTTTGGAAAGAACTAGCCCCAGAAGTGCAACCATCCAAATTCCCCGACTTGCATCCCATCCGCATAAACGAGCGAACATTACTCACCACCTCCATCCGTTGCGCACAGTCTCACAAGGCTCTTGAAGATGCCTGTCGAGATATCGGTGTGACACTACAGGCAGCGGGGCAAGCCGCATGGGCTCGCTTGCTTTCTGCATACACGGGCGAGTCCAATGTCACTTTTGGAACCGTGCTTTCTGGTAGAAACTTATCCGCCGCCGCTCAACACGCGGTATTCCCGTGTTTGGTCACAGTGCCGACGCCTCTGCGTATTGAGGGTTCCAACCGACAGATTTTGGACCGTACGTTGAAGCGAAACGCTTTATTAGTGAAGAATCAGTTCGCACCTCTGTCGCATATCCAGCGTTGGCTAGGTAGCGATGAGCCACTCTTCGACACGCTGTTTGTCTATCAGAAACTTACTTCGGATGCTGTTGGTACTGATGGGTGGGATATTATTGACGAGGAGACGCATATTGATGTAAGTAAAATAAGCAGACGTGATACTCCACAGTTCCGCAGGATTTAGACTGACATTTTACAGTATCCTGTCTCTATCGAGTTGATTCCGCACTCGACAGATCTTCAGATTTCGCTGAGCTACCGGGGTGATCTTGTCCCCACGGAGCAAGCAACGATTCTCTTGGGTCAGTATGACAGATTCTTGCAGGATACTGTCTTCCGTCCAGATGCCAACTCCACCGATCATGAGTCTGTGGGTAGTAGTCTGCTATCTATTACCCCTGCCAAAGAAGCACCAATTCCTACCACGGTGTCTTTCTTGCATCAATTCGTCGAAGCGAACGCGCTCAAGATCCCTGAGAAGATTGCGTTCGAATTTGCTTCTGTTGATACTGGGGACAGCCTCCAGAAGAAGACTTGGACTTACCGTGAGTTCAATGAATGTGGCAATCAAATTGCGCACTTCCTACAGGCAAAAGGAGCTGTTCCTGGTGGAATTGTGGGAATATGCTTTGACAAGTGCCCTGAAGCCTCCATGGCGATTCTGGGTATCATGAAAGCTGGATGTGCATATTTGGCAATTGACCCTGGTGCTCCTATCGCTCGTAAGCAGTTCATGTTAGAGGACTCCGGTACCAATATCCTGCTTTGCAATCAATCGAAGATGGCCAAACTGGAGGTTCTTCCGGCTATTGACGTCCAGGCACTAGATGAGCCTGGGCTGCTTTATGGGGTCTCAACAGGGGATGTCTCACTTTCCCGTTCGATTCAGCCAGATGATACTTGTTATTGTCTTTACACCTCCGGTACAACTGGAACACCGAAGGGCTGCGAGATCACGCACGATAATGCCGTGCAAGCAATGCTAGCATTTCAACGATTGTTCGCAGGACACTGGGATGAAGAGTCTCGGTGGTTGCAATTTGCCTCCTTCCATTTTGACGTCAGCGTTTTGGAACAGTACTGGAGCTGGAGTGTTGGAATTTGCGTCACTTCCTGTCCGCGAGATCTGTTGTTTGAGGATCTGACTGGAACTATACAGAAGCTTCAAATCACGCATATTGACCTGACGCCCAGTTTGGCAAGACTAGTCCATCCCGATGAAGTCCCATCCCTTTGTCGGGGAGTCTTCATCACCGGCGGAGAGGCGTTGAAACAAGAAATCCTCGATGCCTGGGGCAAGTATGGTGTAATCTACAATGGATACGGTCCTACTGAAGTTACTATCGGATGCACCATGCTCCCACGGATGTCTGCCAACGACAAAGCCTCAAACATCGGGCCGCAGTTCGATAATGTGGGGTCGTATGTCTTCATACCCGGTACGACGACACCAGTCCTACGCGGCAGCATAGGCGAACTCTGTGTCTCGGGTCCTCTCGTTGGAAAGGGCTATCTGAACCGAGCAGAGCTCACCAAAGAACGATTCCAAAAGCTCCCGGAATTCGGCGATCGCATCTATCGCACAGGTGATCTTGTGAGGATTTTGCACGATGGAAGCTTCCAGTTCCTTGGTCGTATCGATGACCAGGTCAAGCTCCGTGGACAGCGACTTGAGATTGGGGAAATTAACGAGGTCATCAAACAAGCCACCCCTGAATTGAACGAAGTCGCTACCTTGGTCATCACGCACCCCAAACAATCGAAGGACCAACTTGTCTCCTTTTTCACGACTGTCAATGCAGATAAGAAATCTCGTGCTATCGACGTTCAGGTCCGATCTTCAGAAGACGATCGCGCCCTGCTGTTGAAGATCAAGGGCGCTTGTCGCACTCATCTTCCCGGGTATATGGTGCCTACACATATCATCCCAATGACCCGCTTCCCACTCTCTGCCAACAACAAGGCTGATATGAAAGTCTTGAAAAGTATCTATCAGGAGCTTTCTCTGGAGGATATTCAGAAATTGAGCTCAATGAGTGTCGGTCAGCCTACTGATAGTGTCCAGGAACAGAAGATCATATCTGTTCTGGCGAGGTTTATTGGTTCTTCTGAGAAGATCTCGTCATGGTCCAGTATCTACGAGCTTGGTCTGGATTCTATATCTGTTATTGCATTCTCGAGAAGTCTCCGGGAGGCTGGGTTTTCTCAGGCTCAGCCATCGATCATCATGAAGTGTAAGTCTGACATTCCAGGCGTTGGCTGAGAAGGTACTTGACTAACAATCCATAGACCCTACAATTTCCGGCATGGCTTCGGCTCTACAGGTGCCTATCTCATCTTCTGTGTCTGTGGAAACCCTCCAACGAAACGCCAAGCAAGGCATCGAGGCTTTCGCTCACAAGAACTCCCACGCTATCATCGAGCACATTGGAGCCATCGACGGTGACATTGAAAGGATTGCGCCCTGCACTCCGCTCCAGGAGGGTATCATATACCACTACCTGTCCAGTAGCACGCCATTGTACTGCTCGTCTTTCACTTTCGAGCTCGACCCTTCGGTCAACCTCGAGAATTTGCGCGCAGCTTGGGATCAGGCCCAGAGAGACGTTCAAATGCTGCGCGCCAGGTTTTTGCCATCTGCGGACGGCTATGCCCAAGCTGTCATGAAAAAAGATGCCCTTCCTTGGTTCCTTGCTACAGTCGGCACCACTGAGGAAATTGATGACTTGCGCAAACAGCGACATGACCACTGGACGGCCCAACTCGACGGTCTTTCATCTAACCTATGGGAAGTTGGAGTCATCTCTTCCCCCGAGACATCGGTAATGTGTCTAAATATCTTCCATGCTCTTTACGATGGAAACAGCCTAGTCCTGCTCCTCGAGTCGGTTGCCCGAAATTATCTCGGCCAGATCAACAGTTCGCAGTCAATCCCGGAGTTCCTCGATGTGTTGCACTTAGGTCCCCTTTGTAAAGACCCTGCTGCAGAGGCATTCTGGAAAGAGCATCTTGCCGGCTGCCGTGATCGAGCTTTCCCCGATAACGGTCAAATAGACAGCGCGCCAATTCTGCTCAAAGTTCAAATAAATGCGACAGATCAGGTTGACCATCTTCGCCGGTCTCTCAATGTTACAGAACAAGCTGTTCTCCATGCCTGCTGGCTTCTAACTCTCCAGCAGCAATACTCATTCGTGCCACCACTCGGTATCATTGCCTCGGGTAGGACAATCGATGTACCAGGCATTGGCGACGTTATTGGACCGCTGTTCAATACGATCCCCAGCAACGTCCAGCTGCATGGTTTGGAGTCTTGGTCTGATGTCGCTCGGCGCTGCCATGACTACCAAGTATCCATGATTCCCTTCCAGTACACTGCCCTGCGGGACATTGTGAAATGGCTTGGAAAGAATCCCGACGAGCGACTCTTCAACTCTTTGTTTGTCTTCCAGAGGGAAGATGATAACGATGAATCGTCCACAAAAGATCTTTGGCGAACACTCGACTCAGAGGCCCAGCATGAGTACCCTCTGGCTTTTGAGGTTGTGCGCAATAGTAAGCAATATCTGACAGCCACCATTGCCGCAAAGAGCCATGCGGTATCGTTGGAGGACACCCAGCAGATGTTATCTAAGTTCGAGCAAATACTTTCTGAGTTTTCACAAGACCCCAACAGAGAGTTGCCGAAGACAAACGGAGTGTCTCTCACACAAGTAGTGACGAATGGTGAAGTGAACGGTCACTACGAGCCTCTGAGAACACCGGAACAAACCAATTGTGAACATACCAATGGCTCTTTGTTTGAATGGACTTCCCAAGCTTGCACAATCCGCGACGTGATTGAAACCCTTGCGGGGGTGGAGCCCCAATCCATCAGCGAGAATACATCAATCTTTGAAGTTGGACTTGATAGCATCGATGCAATCAAAATCTCCTCGCGGTTGAGCAAAGCCGGCATCAAACTTCCCGTGAGCTCCATCATGCGCCATCGTACAGTGAAGGCCATGAGCGAGCAACTCTCAATGACAAATGGCCATATCAAAGATGGGACATTACCATTGCTCAATCAGCTAGAGAAATCGTTGGCCAAGTTTGTCGCGGCTGAAGGTCTTCTCCCCCCGGGCACGACTCGAATCCTACCAGCTACACCCATCCAAGAAGCTATGGTAGTAGAAATGTTTGCCTCTGGGTACAAGCATTATTACAACCACGAAATTCTCGAGCTTGAGCCAAATGTGGACATCGAAAAGATGGAGGGGGCATGGAGAGCTGTCGTTAAAGCCCACCCTATTCTCCGTACTTCATTTGTTGAAGTATGGGATCCGCAGATTCCTGTTTCATACGCTCAAATAGTTCACGACGAGGATCAAATTGACATCCAGACTGTCCATCTGCACGGAGTCTCCGTGGAATCCATTATAGAGACTCAGCGTTCAAGGGCCCACAATGAGCTGGCAAGCTGTCCCTTGCTCTCTATCACCATTGCGGTGGAAGGAGATAGGCGGTACCTTCTTTTGTCGATTGCGCATGCTCTCTACGATGGCTGGTCAATCAATCTGCTCCATGAAGATGTTGCCAAATCATATGCTGGTGCGGAGTGTTCCCGCCCGCCAGCTGATGACATTCTCGAGCAAATTATTGCTTCGTCTGGCGATGAAGCAATCAGGTTCTGGCGAACAACGCTATCCAACTTCACCCCGGTGTCATTCTCGCCCATGGAGCACGCTGACAATAGCTCGGTCGTCGTTCACCGAGCAGAACAATCGTTATCCGTTCCACTGCCAAAGGCAGAGGCGTTCTGCAAACGCCATGGCATTACTCTCCAGGCGCTTCTTGTCAGTTGTTGGTCTCTTGTCCTTGCCACGCATGTCAAGAAACTAGATGTGGCATTTGGGCTTGTCCTTTCCGGTCGGAACGTGGCTGACTCTGAGCATGTGATGTTCCCGACCATGAACACTGTCACCATGCGAGTTATCCTTCATGGGACGCGCGTAGAATTGGTGAAGTATGTGCAGGAGGCTCTCCTAGCCATGTCGGAGCATCAGCATTTCCCGCTTCGGCGCGCGAGACCAGATACGGGATCGCGGGCGTTGTTTGATACCCTTTTCATGTATCAGAAGAGACCGGTAGATAATGTCCAGACTGGGCCTGGACAGGTTTTGTATAAGTCTACTGGTGGAGCAGCTGAAGTTGAATACCCAGTTTGCGCTGAAGTTGAAGTTGTCGGAGAGGATCTGGTTGGGCGGGTTGCTTGTCGTGGAAATGTTGTTGGGGATCAAGATACTCTTGCGCTGCTGGGGCAGATGGGCGATATCCTTTCGTCTATCATTGATGGTCCATCTGAACAGACTGTCGAATTCACCAGTGAAGGAGTGAAGAATTGTGGAAGCGCAGCTTTCCAGGATGAATCTAGACAAGATATCGAGACTGATGCAGTTCCCCGGACACTCAATCAGGCGGAATGGTCGCCCATTGAGTCAAAGATCCGCAAAGTTCTTTGCATTGCATCCGGGGTACCTGAGAATTCCATTGACAAGAGCTCCACGATCTTTGAGCTTGGTCTGGATAGTATCAGCGCCATCAAGGTGGCTGCACTCCTGAAGAAACAGTCCGTCAAGCTCGCGGTCAGTGACATGCTTCGGGCTGGTACCATCAAAAACATGGCCAAAGCAGCCAACAGCAACCAGACGAAGTTCTCACTCACAAACATATCGAGCATTCTCCACGAATCACTCGATGGCATCGATGTGGCGGAACTGCTACAATCGCATGGTATTGATTCGCAACGCGTGCGAAATGTGCTCCCTGCAACTGCAGGGCAGATCTATTTCCTCTCAATGCACACCCTAAATCCCGAAGTGTTCTATCCTGAGTTCTACTATGTGACATCACGACAATTGAGCCCTGAAGTACTCGATCGGGCCTGGGCTCGGGTCATCGACCAAACCCCAATGCTTCGAACGGCATTTGTGTCCACTTCCGACTCTCCGCTATTGCCCTATATGCAGATCGGGTTTGAGGATGTGCAAATTCCTGTGATCTGGCATTCCAAGTTTGATCGGCATCTTGTTTCAAGAAGTCTCAAGCATGAATTTGGGGCAGTGCCAGTCGCACTGCATGCCTGTCAAACGAACAAGGGAACGGCGCTTATTCTGCAAATTCACCATGCACTGTACGACGCTGTTAGTCTACCCTATATCCTAGACAGACTTGTTAAACACTGCAGTCAAGAGGAGGTTGCCAAGCCACACCCCGACCTTGGTCTCTCACAGCTCGTGGCATTCCAGCATGTTCATTCGCCCGTAGATGTCCGGCGGCAATTCTGGCAAAAGTATCTAGGCCAAATGCCAACAGCGGCAAAACGAGGGGATGGCTTCGGCTCTGTGCAAAATCACTACCGGCCGGGCCTGGTTTCAAATATGACCAGTGTCGAAAAGGTTGCTAAGCGCCAGGGCCTTAGCATTCAGACCGTCTTTTTGGCAGTCTATGCTCGAGTGCATTTGCAGGAATTCGGTGCAGCTGAAACCATAGATGACGCAGGGTCTCACGGGCGGTTAAATGTTGGACTCTACCTCGCCAATCGATCTCATTCCATCGAGGGTCTAGCCGAATCTGTGATTCCCACCGTTAACATCGTTCCACTACGACTGGATGACAAACTTAGCGATTCCAATGAGACCCTCCTTGATGCCGCCCGCAGGATCCAAACTGAAATCAATGAGATCAGCCGACCAGAATACTCGGGTGTTTCTCTCCTGGAAATTGCCGAATGGACGGGCGTCCGAATCGACACTTGCGTCAATTTCCTGCGACTTCCTGAGCAGGAATTGAAAGCACCCAGCAACGGTGACCAGGCAAAGTTTTCTCTCACAGCAATTCAACGCGAGGAGTTTGAAGATCTTAGCGGGGCAGCCCCAGTTTCGGAAAAAGACCCAATTCAGATTAATGGCAATGGTGTAGCGCCACCGGGTGCAGCCGAGATGAGCCCGGGCCTCGATCATCCAAGCGCCTCAACGGCTACTCGAAACATTTTCCAGGTAAGTGGGCGAATGCACATCACTTCTGCATGTTAACGGTGATCGAGCCTTATGCGATTGCTTACTTTTCAACAGCCCACGATTGATGTGGAAGCCGCCATCCGCAATGGTCGGTTAGACTTTGGGCTCTTCGCACCGGAATCCCGTCTTGACCGAGATACAGCGGAGACTGTAATCGGCGCTATGCGACGGGAGATGTCTGCATTGGTGACAGGCTTCGAATCGATATAGAATGTCTAGTGGTGCTAGATGCTAGGGATGGAAGAGAGGGGGGGAAGAGTATCCCGGGGTGATTGTATGGAGTACGGAGTATAATAGATTAAGATCTTTTATTTATTTATATTATATTATATTATTTTTGGGTTATTTTGTCTGCTATTTCATACTATTTCTTGCTTTCTCTATGGCTCATCATACTTGCTTGTGCATATGAGTTGGATGTGTATAGTTTTCTTTTCCCAATCGAATTTATATTGAAAGCCATCTGATTTGACGAGTGACGGCGGGACCCACGGACGGGACGGGCCCGGGGATCTTTTATCTTTTGGAACTGCAGGGTTAGATATAACCTTGGAAGATATAAAGGGCATTGTAGGGCATTATGCTGTATGTGTACATATTGTATTGTATGTAGTATATAGGGTCTCTTATAAGGCCTCTTATAAGTTCTCTTATAGGGACTATGGACCGGGTTTTCTTTTTTTTCATATGCCCCTCGTTTGGCACCAATCAGACCCAGTAGCCCTTTTTTCTTCTCCCATTCCTCCGAGAATAGGACTGATGAATCAGATGTGGACTTAAGAGGCAGTGCGAGAGAGTGGGCTGATGGGTGGCACTTAAGCAAGGGGGGATTTCGCGTGGCCTATCGCCAGTTAGAATTAGTTTTTGTTTCTTTTTTTTTTTGAAAGTTCCTCTTTTTTTGGATTATAGGAGAGTAGAGATAATTAAAAATACTAATATACATATATACATTCCTTGATTTAAAAAATAAAGACAAAAAATAAAGAAATGGGGTATACAACATACAATAGGCCCATAGAGAATACCCCTCCCTTTGTTTATTGGAGTGGCGCTGTCAGTGCAGGGGCCGTGCGAAACGCGCAGTTCCAAGTTGTTACTCTGTACGGAGTACTCCGTACAGAATACATACAAATATTTTATTATGTATTATTTTTGAGTGTAGGCTGAATTCTTGAACTTGAATTTGAATGTATTATTATTTTTGAACAAGCTATAACCCCCGAAGATAATATTTTATTTTACTGTTTTGTTATATTTATTGTTTATTGCTTACCTAATATTTGTTGTCACAATCACGCGTCACCCTAATCCACATTGGGCATCCAACGATCAACAACGCGACTGCGCGTTAATCAGTTTGGACTTTATTTCTATAACCTGGACACCAACATCCTGAACACCTGGAACAACAGTTGAACACTTGATCAATCTTGTTAAAAACATTCTTAATATCCCCCAAGTGGTTTAAAACCAACTCTCGATTCGCCTTCCTCGGACACGGTCACATACCAATACCCAACCCCTCCTCGATCCCTTTCGCCCTCGTGGGCTGACCTCACCTTTTGTATTGGGGGACTTTAACCCCTTGCAACTTTTTTTCTTGGAACGAAAGATTCCGACCCTTCTACTTTTTACAAGAGTGTAATCCAAAGTGAAACATTCCACACCTATCGCGCATCTCCTTGATCTGGTTATCCCCGGGTATCAAAACGCATCAAGGTGAAACATCACATACAGACACGCGTTGGTGTTTGTTCCTAAGGGAAGCAGTTGAATTCCTTGGAATCCGCAATGGAAGTGGTGTGACTCAGTTCTGAACTTTGCCACTCGCACCTGCCTTTGGAACACATTCCATTCCCCGTGCCTTCCTTGGGATATCATATGAATATCTGTGATATCCTTGGCTTCCTCTCTTTCCCTTTCTGGACGCGTTGTTGATTTGAACGCGTCAGCCTTGGAACCTTGGGAGGCTCTCTAAACCTCTCGAATCTCGAATCTCGAATCTCGAATCTGAGGATATCTAGTTTTCCTCTTATATCCAGAGCCCAATTTAGTTGTGACGCGCTCTTCATTCTGGACTCGTTGCGCGGCACGTTGACACATTCCCGCAATCATGGTTGCAACCTTTTCGCCGCACCGGGACTCCGGTGGCACACTTCATCTGCCATCGCACTCGGGAATCCATCACGTTGACGCCAGTTCTGCTATCCGACAACTGAGGCGCTCACTTTCGCGCTCCCCCTCCAAGAGTTCAAACTTCTTCCTCAACCCGCGTACTCATTCCCCCTCCAAATCCGCCTACATCTCTTCTCCCTTGTCACCCTCACGGCGCGCCTCACAGAACAATTTTGTTCTCTTCCCATCTCATCAATCTCATCAGTCGCCTCTCGCTGTTCCTTACCCTCCCAGCGCCAAGATCAGTAGGCCGGCCATGCGTCGACGCACATCACCCCGCAGTCCGGCCAAACGCGTTCTGAGTGTTTCGACTGACAGCGGTAACGCGACTCCAACCCAACCCATCTCTTTACCCTCTGGTGAAGAAAATGATTTGACTCTCGATGACCTCGTCGCGTCTGGTCAAAGTACCACCCCAGACAGTCCTTGTTTTATTAACACTCCTTCTGCCCCTCTGGGTGACTCGACTTTTGCGCCGCGATCAACGTTGTCGCGCATTGAAAAACGACGTAGTGGGACCTTTGGTAGCTTTGCGACTGGCAGTCCCTTGAAGCGCAGCGACGGGATTATGAACTTGGACCAAGCATCGCGAGGTAGCCCTTCTGCAAAGCGACGCAGCGTGCACACTCCCAATTTCGCAGCCGAATTTAGCATTTTTGACAACGAAGTCGAAAACACGACCCCAGAGGGATCTCCAACGCGGAACGAAATTCCCTCTTTTCCCACAGCTGTCCAACCCCACAGTCCATTTGCGACAATTCCTAAGCGCTCGTCTTCTCTACGACGCTCGACCCTACAGCAGCGCGGCGACCGACCTCTCTTTGGGCGACCCAGGGCCATGGATGATTCAAGCGACGCATCACCACCCGAGACGCCATTGTCTGTTAGGCCGCGAATGTCGTTCGATAGCAGCCTATTCCAGCCAGGCAGCGAAAACATTTTCTCTCCCAGGCCGCCAGCCAGCCCTCTTTTCTCCAACTCCCCCGCCAACCCTCCCGTCAATCCTACCGTCAACACTATTCAACCTGCTCGACCCACTGCTCATCCTCTCTCTCGTACTATCACTCAATCCTCTTCTGGGTCTAGTATTGAGGACTCGCCCACCCATGAGCCAGTCCACAAGCCCGAGGGCCGACGAACAATGTTCAACTTCTCCAAATCTCTCCCCGCGGGGGCTACTCGTCCTGCCCCCGTGAGACGGATTACCCGAGAAGATACAACAGACACGTTTGCTACCCCAGATAACTTCAGGCTAGTGAAGCCTCTTCCTGCGGCATTCATGTCCACTGGTCTTATCTCCAAGAAAAACCGCAATGCGGAGGAGAACCCCGGATTTAACAAGAGCATGCCTGATACACCATGCAAGCGGCCTGTCAACCTTTTCACCGCTGGGCCAAACCCCACGGACCGACTGTTCGACAAGTCCCGTCTGGTTCATCAACCAGAAGCTGCTTCCGCCTCTCCATTCAACCCACCTACTACCTCGCGTCCCAAGCCAAGTCCCTTCGCTCGGGGCATGGGAATCTTTGGTAGCAGTTTTAGTCGGCCCGAAGCCTCGCGGCGTGGAAGTTTCGCTAGCATTGATGGTGACGAACTGATTCTCGCCCAATCACCCTCTTCCCGACATGACAGCCAGCCTCTAAATGATGACTTCCCTCCCACACCGACCAAACAGCCCTTCCTCCCCTCTCGCACCTACCCTCCCGCCACTTCTCAAATCCCGTCTCTGGGACGACTATCCGAGACAGCGAGTCCGCTGCACGAGAAGTTTATGCAGGCGTCACCTCACACTCCCCGCGACCAGTACTTCCCTCCCGACCCGAGTGGCTTATCGATCTCCGTGCCAAGTGATCATCAGTATGTGCAGGAGCATGATCTTCCAGCCACTCCAACTGGACCGCGAGACTCTTGGTCATCATTCAGGCGGCCCAGTCTCCAAATTAGCGGCTACTATGTTCCAGATGTGGACCCCACTCTGACATCCCGCTTTGACAACGTGGAGCTTATTGGAACTGGCGAGTTCTCTCAGGTCTTCCGTGTCGCGCAGCCTCACGACGCGTCCTTCCCATCTGTCTTCTCTCTTCCATCAAGCGAACCAAGGTCCCCGACTTCCCTCCCCCATCAGGTGTGGGCTGTCAAGAAGAGCAAGCAGCCCTATCTGGGGTTAAAGGATCGTGAGCGCCGTATTCGCGAAGTTGAGGTTCTCAAGTCTTTGACCAACTGTGACCATGTTATTTCCTTCATGGACAGCTGGGAGAACAATGGCCATCTGTACATTCAAACTGAGTTCTGCGAAGAGGGTAGCCTGGATGGCTTCTTGGCCCAAGCCGGACTTAAGGCCCGACTTGATGACTTCCGTATCTGGAAGATTTTGCTCGAGATGTCTCTGGGACTGAAGCAGATCCATGACAAGGGATTCATCCATCTTGACCTGAAGCCTGCTAACATTCTGGTCACCTTTGAGGGTACTTTGAAGATCGGTGACTTTGGCATGGCAACACGATGGCCTGCAGAAAATGGTATTGAGGGCGAAGGTGACCGCGAATACATTGGACCGGAGATTCTTATGGGCCAATTCGACAAGCCCGCCGATATCTTCTCACTTGGTCTCATCATTTTTGAGATCGCCGGCAATGTGGAACTTCCCGACAATGGAGTATCTTGGCAGAAGCTCCGCAACGGCGATATGAGCGATGTGCCCAGCCTTACCTGGAGCTCGGAGACCAGCATCTTCCGCGATGCAACTGGAAACCCTATCTCGGAAGGGTCATCTTTCGAGGACCTTTGTACATCCGATCTGGGTGACAACCAATTCGGTAACGATTTCCTGACAAGTCGTCAGCTGAGCAATCCCAAACCACAACGACTCGCACGAAGCGGGGAGTTGATTGATCCACCCAGCTTCATGGTCGATGCCAACCACCCACAGGCATTGGACGGCATTGTTCGATGGATGATCTCCCCCGAACCTCAGAACCGTCCCACGGCCGACCAGATCCTGGAAACTTATGGAGTGCAATTTATTAACCAACGAC